CCAGCCTGCCTGTGAGTCTCTCTTCTCTCTCTTGCTGCCACTAGTTCGAAAGTGCTCTGGTCGTGACTTTAGAGTCGACTCAAAAGCAGCCTCGCTCCCCTCGTTCGGAGGGCTCGGGGCATCCACAACCACGCCTGCCTTCGGAACATCCCAGCCTGCCTGTGAGTCTCTCTTCTCTCTCTTGCTGCCACTAGTTCGAAAGTGCTCTGGTCGTGACTTTAGAGTCGACTCAAAAGCAGCCTCGCTCCCCTCGTTCGGAGGGCTCGGGGCATCCACAACCACGCCTGCCTTCGGAACATCCCAGCCTGCCTGTGAGTCTCTCTTCTCTCTCTTGCTGCCACTAGTTCGAAAGTGCTCTGGTCGTGACTTTAGAGTCGACTCAAAAGCAGCCTCGCTCCCCTCGTTCGGAGGGCTCGGGGCATCCACAACCACGCCTGCCTTCGGAACATCCCAGCCTGCCTGTGAGTCTCTCTTCTCTCTCTTGCTGCCACTAGTTCGAAAGTGCTCTGGTCGTGACTTTAGAGTCGACTCAAAAGCAGCCTCGCTCCCCTCGTTCGGAGGGCTCGGGGCATCCACAACCACGCCTGCCTTCGGAGCATCCCAGCCGGCCTGTGAGTCTCTCTTCTCTCTCTTGCTGCCACTAGTTCGAAAGTGCTCTGGTCGTGACTTTAGAGTCGACTCAAAAGCAGCCTCGCTCCCCTCGTTCGGAGGGCTCGGGGCATCCACAACCACGCCTGCCTTCGGAGCATCCCAGCCTGCCTGTGAGTCTCTCTTCTCTCTCTTGCTGCCACTAGTTCGAAAGTGCTCTGGTCGTGACTTTAGAGTCGACTCAAAAGCAGCCTCGCTCCCCTCGTTCGGAGGGCTCGGGGCATCCACAACCACGCCTGCCTTCGGAGCATCCCAGCCTGCCTGTGAGTCTCTCTTCTCTCTCTTGCTGCCACTAGTTCGAAAGTGCTCTGGTCGTGACTTTAGAGTCGACTCAAAAGCAGCCTCGCTCCCCTCGTTCGGAGGGCTCGGGGCATCCACAACCACGCCTGCCTTCGGAGCATCCCAGCCTGCCTGTGAGTCTCTCTTCTCTCTCTTGCTGCCACTAGTTCGAAAGTGCTCTGGTCGTGACTTTAGAGTCGACTCAAAAGCAGCCTCGCTCCCCTCGTTCGGAGGGCTCGGGGCATCCACAACCACGCCTGCCTTCGGAGCATCCCAGCCTGCCTGTGAGTCTCTCTTCTCTCTCTTGCTGCCACTAGTTCGAAAGTGCTCTGGTCGTGACTTTAGAGTCGACTCAAAAGCAGCCTCGCTCCCCTCGTTCGGAGGGCTCGGGGCATCCACAACCACGCCTGCCTTCGGAGCATCCCAGCCGGCCTGTGAGTCTCTCTTCTCTCTCTTGCTGCCACTAGTTCGAAAGTGCTCTGGTCGTGACTTTAGAGTCGACTCAAAAGCAGCCTCGCTCCCCTCGTTCGGAGGGCTCGGGGCATCCACAACCACGCCTGCCTTCGGAGCATCCCAGCCTGCCTGTGAGTCTCTCTTCTCTCTCTTGCTGCCACTAGTTCGAAAGTGCTCTGGTCGTGACTTTAGAGTCGACTCAAAAGCAGCCTCGCTCCCCTCGTTCGGAGGGCTCGGGGCATCCACAACCACGCCTGCCTTCGGAGCATCCCAGCCTGCCTGTGAGTCTCTCTTCTCTCTCTTGCTGCCACTAGTTCGAAAGTGCTCTGGTCGTGACTTTAGAGTCGACTCAAAAGCAGCCTCGCTCCCCTCGTTCGGAGGGCTCGGGGCATCCACAACCACGCCTGCCTTCGGAGCATCCCAGCCTGCCTGTGAGTCTCTCTTCTCTCTCTTGCTGCCACTAGTTCGAAAGTGCTCTGGTCGTGACTTTAGAGTCGACTCAAAAGCAGCCTCGCTCCCCTCGTTCGGAGGGCTCGGGGCATCCACAACCACGCCTGCCTTCGGAGCATCCCAGCCTGCCTGTGAGTCTCTCTTCTCTCTCTTGCTGCCACTAGTTCGAAAGTGCTCTGGTCGTGACTTTAGAGTCGACTCAAAAGCAGCCTCGCTCCCCTCGTTCGGAGGGCTCGGGGCATCCACAACCACGCCTGCCTTCGGAGCATCCCAGCCTGCCTGTGAGTCTCTCTTCTCTCTCTTGCTGCCACTAGTTCGAAAGTGCTCTGGTCGTGACTTTAGAGTCGACTCAAAAGCAGCCTCGCTCCCCTCGTTCGGAGGGCTCGGGGCATCCACAACCACGCCTGCCTTCGGAGCATCCCAGCCGGCCTGTGAGTCTCTCTTCTCTCTCTTGCTGCCACTAGTTCGAAAGTGCTCTGGTCGTGACTTTAGAGTCGACTCAAAAGCAGCCTCGCTCCCCTCGTTCGGAGGGCTCGGGGCATCCACAACCACGCCTGCCTTCGGAGCATCCCAGCCTGCCTGTGAGTCTCTCTTCTCTCTCTTGCTGCCACTAGTTCGAAAGTGCTCTGGTCGTGACTTTAGAGTCGACTCAAAAGCAGCCTCGCTCCCCTCGTTCGGAGGGCTCGGGGCATCCACAACCACGCCTGCCTTCGGAGCATCCCAGCCTGCCTGTGAGTCTCTCTTCTCTCTCTTGCTGCCACTAGTTCGAAAGTGCTCTGGTCGTGACTTTAGAGTCGACTCAAAAGCAGCCTCGCTCCCCTCGTTCGGAGGGCTCGGGGCATCCACAACCACGCCTGCCTTCGGAGCATCCCAGCCGGCCTGTGAGTCTCTCTTCTCTCTCTTGCTGCCACTAGTTCGAAAGTGCTCTGGTCGTGACTTTAGAGTCGACTCAAAAGCAGCCTCGCTCCCCTCGTTCGGAGGGCTCGGGGCATCCACAACCACGCCTGCCTTCGGAGCATCCCAGCCTGCCTGTGAGTCTCTCTTCTCTCTCTTGCTGCCACTAGTTCGAAAGTGCTCTGGTCGTGACTTTAGAGTCGACTCAAAAGCAGCCTCGCTCCCCTCGTTCGGAGGGCTCGGGGCATCCACAACCACGCCTGCCTTCGGAGCATCCCAGCCTGCCTGTGAGTCTCTCTTCTCTCTCTTGCTGCCACTAGTTCGAAAGTGCTCTGGTCGTGACTTTAGAGTCGACTCAAAAGCAGCCTCGCTCCCCTCGTTCGGAGGGCTCGGGGCATCCACAACCACGCCTGCCTTCGGAGCATCCCAGCCTGCCTGTGAGTCTCTCTTCTCTCTCTTGCTGCCACTAGTTCGAAAGTGCTCTGGTCGTGACTTTAGAGTCGACTCAAAAGCAGCCTCGCTCCCCTCGTTCGGAGGGCTCGGGGCATCCACAACCACGCCTGCCTTCGGAGCATCCCAGCCTGCCTGTGAGTCTCTCTTCTCTCTCTTGCTGCCACTAGTTCGAAAGTGCTCTGGTCGTGACTTTAGAGTCGACTCAAAAGCAGCCTCGCTCCCCTCGTTCGGAGGGCTCGGGGCATCCACAACCACGCCTGCCTTCGGAGCATCCCAGCCGGCCTGTGAGTCTCTCTTCTCTCTCTTGCTGCCACTAGTTCGAAAGTGCTCTGGTCGTGACTTTAGAGTCGACTCAAAAGCAGCCTCGTTCCCCTCGTTCGGAGGGCTCGGGGCATCCACAACCACGCCTGCCTTCGGAGCATCCCAGCCGGCCTGTGAGTCTCTCTTCTCTCTCTTGCTGCCACTAGTTCGAAAGTGCTCTGGTCGTGACTTTAGAGTCGACTCAAAAGCAGCCTCGTTCCCCTCGTTCGGAGGGCTCGGGGCATCCACAACCACGCCTGCCTTCGGAGCATCCCAGCCGGCCTGTGAGTCTCTCTTCTCTCTCTTGCTGCCACTAGTTCGAAAGTGCTCTGGTCGTGACTTTAGAGTCGACTCAAAAGCAGCCTCGTTCCCCTCGTTCGGAGGGCTCGGGGCATCCACAACCACGCCTGCCTTCGGAGCATCCCAGCCGGCCTGTGAGTCTCTCTTCTCTCTCTTGCTGCCACTAGTTCGAAAGTGCTCTGGTCGTGACTTTAGAGTCGACTCAAAAGCAGCCTCGTTCCCCTCGTTCGGAGGGCTCGGGGCATCCACAACCACGCCTGCCTTCGGAGCATCCCAGCCGGCCTGTGAGTCTCTCTTCTCTCTCTTGCTGCCACTAGTTCGAAAGTGCTCTGGTCGTGACTTTAGAGTCGACTCAAAAGCAGCCTCGTTCCCCTCGTTCGGAGGGCTCGGGGCATCCACAACCACGCCTGCCTTCGGAGCATCCCAGCCGGCCTGTGAGTCTCTCTTCTCTCTCTTGCTGCCACTAGTTCGAAAGTGCTCTGGTCGTGACTTTAGAGTCGACTCAAAAGCAGCCTCGTTCCCCTCGTTTGGAGGGCTCGGGGCATCCACAACCACGCCTGCCTTCGGAGTATCACAGCCGGCCTGTGAGTCTCTCTTCTCTCTCTTGCTGCCACTAGTTCGAAAGTGCTCTGGTCGTGACTTTAGAGTCGACTCAAAAGCAGCCTCGTTCCCCTCGTTCGGAGGGCTGGGAGCATCCACAACCACGCCTGCCTTCGGAGCATCCCAGCCGTCTTGTGAGTCTCTGTCTGCACCCTCCAGGTTCAAGAGCACTAGGATTGCTGTTCCCTCTTGTGCAGCTAACATTCGTGTTGTACCTGTATTTTGACAATTCTCTCTGTTGTGTGAGTTGCGCAGTAGTGCCTCCAGCCGCTTCTCGTATTAGCTTCTTTTAAACACTCGCAAGCTCATGCCATCCCACCTTTTCTTGCTCATATTCCTGCTCCTCGCCACGCACCTGTCTCACTCACACTGTCAACTATCCCTCAGCTTTCACCTGTAGCGCCTTTCGTATCTCCCATAAGGCAATATATAAGTTATCCGCCTCTCGTCACTCTCCTGCCGCTTCCCTCCCTGCTCTCCCATGCAGTCGGTGGTGGGCTATTCGGCTCCAGCCTTCAGCTCAGCTCCTCTGCCAGTTTTTTTCTGCTTTTTGTTTCTCCTTATCCTCCTCTACTCCCCTCCCCGCCCCTCCTCTTCCCCCCCCTGCTCTCTATCCCATGCAGTCGGTGGTGGGCTATTCGGCTCCACCCCTCAGCTCGGCTCCTCTGCCTTCGGCGCCTCGTAAGCCCTCTTCTCCTCGCCCTCCCCCTTCCCTTTCCTCCCCCATGCCCTCTTCTAGCACCCTTCCCTCCCTTCCCCCCCTTCCCCCCCACTTCCCGTCCCCACCCAACCCCCGCTTTTCTCCGATTTCATTCGTCTCTCCTGGCTCTTCGTTCGCTTGCATATTGCTTTTCCAGGATCCATCCTGTCTCCCCGCCCCAGTCTGGTATAGCTGCACTTGCCTCCTTACTCGTGCACTTCTGCCCCCTTCCCAACCACCCTTCCCCTCCCACGCCAGCCTTGGAGCGACCGCCACAGGAGGCCTGTTTGGCCAGTCGCAGCAGCAGCAACAGCAGCAACAAATGCAGCTTCAGCAGCAACAGCAACAGCAGCTGTTGCAGCAGCTGCAGCAGTCGGGGCTGCTCCAGTCGCCCTTTGGTGTGCTGCCTGCCATGCCCAACTTCGGCCTTGGTGCTGCAGGAGGGGTTAGAGCCAGCACAGAGCTTGGCATTTCCAGCATGCCTGTGAGTATCAGAACTTTTGAGAAACATTTTGAGCATCCACGCCTTTGTGTGACAGTCACTACGTCGCATCGCAACGAGGTGCCTTTTGAGTCGACTCAAAAGTCATTTCGAGAGACAAGCATCCGCGCCTTTGTTCAACTTTTGAGGCGCCTCAAAAAAAGAAACAAGCATCCGCGCCTTTGTGCAAGTGTTGAAGCAAATTGGCCCTTGGACAGTCACTCACTACGTCGCACGCCTGACTGCATGAAGTAGACTCCTGAATTAACTTCTTCTGTCTCATAAAAGAACTCCCCTTATTTTCCCTCTCCTTTTCCCCCTTCTCCCTCTCTCCCCGAACAACAGGCATCAGACCGCTATGCTTCAGGCACGCGCGTTTCCTCCATCCTCACGCCCCGCCGCATCACCCCGCGCACCCGTGCGCGCATGCACCATCCCGCCACGCGCCACTTCCACCCCGGGCGCGACACTGCCCGCGTGCCATTCTTCTTCTCCTCGCCCTCCGACCACGACGACATCTCCCCCGCCGTGCCCCGATGCTCACCCCTTCCCTTTCTCCCTCCTTCCCCTTCTCCCCTTTCCCCCTCCCCACTTGCCCTGAACCACAGGCATCGGACCGCTATGCATCAGGCACGCGCGTCTCCTCCATCCTCACGCCCCGTCGCATCACCCCGCGCACCCGTGCGCGCATGCACCACCCCGCCACGCGCCATTTCCACCCCGGGCGCGACACTGCCCGCGTGCCGTTCTTCTTCTCCTCGCCCTTCGACCACGACGACCTCTCCCCCGCCGTGCCGCGTGCCGACGCCCTCTTTGTCCCCCGCGACAACCCCCGCGCCCTCTTCATCCGCCACCCTGTCGCCCCTGCTGCTGACACCGCTGCTGCTGGTGCTGCTGGTGGCGCTGACGCGAGCCCGAATGGAAAGAGCCCTGCTGCTGCTGCTGGAGGGACGCCGGGCAAGTCAGGGTCTCCTCAGGGATCAGACTACCAGTCGCCTCCTTCAGGGGTCTCTCCCCGGGATGCCTTCTATGCTCCTTCCGCTCCTCCCTACGATTCCTCCGATCTGAATGGCAATGGGGGCTCGCAGTCCCCCAGGAGCCCCTCTGCTGCCCGCGCTGGCGCCACAGGCGGAGGGTTTGGGTCCGCCATGCCGTCCCCCACTCTCTCCCCCGCCTGGAACGGCTCCTTCTCTCCTCCCTCCCCCTCTCGCGCCACCGGCACCGGTGCGAAAGGTCCCGGGATCGAATCCCAGCTGCCGCGATTAAAATCCGCGGATTATTTCACCGAGCCGTCGCTGTCTGCTCTAGCTGCCCTGGAGCGCTCGCTCCCGGGGTCGCTGGCGCGGGTGCGGGATTTCGTGGTGGGGAGAAAGGGGTTCGGGAGCGTGCGGTTTCTGGGCGAGACGGACGTGAGGGGGCTGGATGTGGAGGGGATAGTGCAGTTTCACAAGTGCGAGATTCTGGTGTATATGGATGAAGAGAGCAAGCCGCCGGTGGGGGAGGAGCTGAATAAGCCTGCGGAGGTGACGCTGCTGCAGGTGGTGTGCGTCGATAAGAAGACCAGCAAGGCGGTAAGTGCCCGTGTTTGATGCCCATTCCTTTCCCGTTCTTTTTTTCTGTTCAATGTTTTCATTTGTTGAGTTAGCGATTTGAGTGCAAGCTGGGGCGGCGGGTTCTACGTTTCGAGTTTTGATGCGCCTCAAATGCTTCTTCCTTTCTTAACTCTCATCTGATGCTAGCAGGTGACGGAGGGCCCGGAGGTGGAGCGGTTTGAGCGCAAGCTGAGGCGCAAGACAGCGGAGCAGGAGGCGGAGTTCCTGTCGTTCAATGCGGCCAAGGGCGAGTGGCGCTTCAAGGTGCAACACTTCAGCCGGTACGGCCTGGAGGACTCAGATGATGATGAGGAGGAGGAGGAAAGGGGAAGGGGGAGAGGAGAAGGCGAGGAGGATGGGAGAGAGGATGATGGGGAGTTGGGAGAGGAGGAGTATGAGACTGACGAGGGTCTGAGTGGCGATGGTGATGCTGATGCTGATGCTGCTGATGATGGTAATGGTGGTGGTCGTGGGAGGGTGTCAGTGCCACCTGGCGGCGTGTCACTGGACCGGGCGCTGCCAGCTCAGCTGGGGATCGACCCAATCAGGCTGCAGCAGATGCGCCAGGTCATGTTCGGCCGCAGTGCCACTGAGGAAGATAATGATGGGGAGGGGTACAATGGTGGGTTTGGGAGCGGGATGGGTTTTACCAGTGCCAAGAGAAAGCAAGGAGGGTTGGGGGCGGAAGCAATGGATTCCGACTGGCAGGGCTGGGGTCCAGGGAAGGCTCCTAGGTTCGGCATGCTAGGAGCGGCCGCTGCCGCTGCCACTGCCGCCAGTGCTGCGGCCGCAGCTGCCGCAGCTGCTAGTGGTGGTGCTGCCAGTGGTGCTGCTATGGCTAGAAAGCCAGCCGATCCTTGGTCCAACCCATGGGCAGCTGGATTTAGGGGAAACAGGAGGGCAGGCGGGCGGGGAGCACAGAAGCCGACCTCCTTTCTAGCAGGCAGCAGGGCAGGCATCAGGGTTTTCCCAGAGTTTGAGGCAGGTGCACCAGGCGTAGGAGCAGCAGGAGCAGGAGGAGCAGGAGCGGGAGGGGCGAGTGCTGTGCTTGTCTCAGGGCTGCAAGGCCGAGTGCATGCGCATGTGCACCCTGGTGCTGTTGCCGCGGCAGGATTCGAATGGACCATCCCAAACGCGTTGCCTGGAAAAGGAACAGGAACCACAGCAGGGGGAGCAGCAGGGGCAGCGGCGGGAGCAACAGCGGTGGCGCAGGCAGTGGCGGCGGTGGCGGTGGTGGCGACGGTGCCAGGGGAGGGGAGCAGCGGCGTGGCAGTGGATGCAGGGCTGTTCCTCGGCCGCTCCTTTCGTGTAGGCTGGGGGCCGGGCGGAGTGCTGGTGACTCCAGGCAGGGTGCTGCCTGCTGGAGCCTTTGCTGCTGGAAGCATTGCTGCTGGTAACCGCGGTGCAGCAGATGTGACAGATGTGACTCCCATCTCGTCCAAGATCACTGTCACTCAGGTGGCCTTCTCCCCCTGGTCCTCCCTTCCCCCTCCTCCTGCTTCTTTCGTCTCTCCTCTACTTTCCAGTCCCCTTAAGTCCCTCAGTCCAGGGGGGGCAGGGAGGGACGGCGAGTTGTCAGAAGCAGAAGCAGAGAGGGGTGCAGCGGAACGGGAGCGGCTGCAGCAGCTGCTGTTGATTGAGCCGCTGCTGCTGCACTTCCAGTCGAGTAGGGTGGTGGGGGGCCGTGGGAGAGGGGGAGAGGGAGTATGGGGCGCAGGTGGGGAGGAGGGTGATGGAGAGGTGTTGCAGAGTGAGGAGGAAGAAGAAGAGGAGGGGGAGAAGAGCGGTGAAGATGAGGAGATGGAGGGGGGGGAGAAGAATGGGAGAGAGGGGAGGAGAGAGGAGGGGAGGGAGTGGGTAGGGCGACGGCTGGTGTGCAGTCGGCAGGGTGGCAGTCTGGCCTCTCTGTGTCGCCGCTACAGCTCCCTGGCTGTAGCGGCTGCTGACGCCCTTGCTGCTGCCCGGGCGAAGACTGGGCAGGGGCGGGTTGTATCTGGGGTGGGTGTATCTGAGCGGCAGCTGCAGCACGAGCAAGCGGTTTGGCAGCTTGTGGACGTGCTGTTCTCTGATTGGCAGGGCAGGAGGCGCAGTGACGTCATGGCGGGGTCTGGAGGTGTGGAGATGGGTGGGGAGTTCGAGGCAGGTGATGGTGCTGGGTCAGGTGAAAAGGCAGGTGGTAGTTCAGGTGGAAAATCAGGTGATGGGTCGATGGAGGAGGAGGAGAGGGATGGGGAGGTGGAGGATGGGTATGGGGAGATGGAGGGGATGAGTGGTGGTGGGCAGAGAAGTGGGATGGAGCAAGGGGAGGGGGGGAAGGGGGCGAGAGAGGAAGCAGCGCTGAACAGGCGTTTGTTTGCAGATGATGACGTGGAAGAGGAGGAAGGAGGTGCTGCTGCGGCTGGTGTGACTGGTGCGACTGGTGGTAATAGACAGCCACAGTGGATTGGGGGACCAGAAACCGCGGAGGAGGAAGAGAAGGGGAGTGAGCAGGAGGAGGAGCAGGGAGGAGTGACCGAGGAGGAGGAGGAGGAGGAGGAGGAGGAGGAGGAGGAGGAGGAGGAGGAGGGGGGTGATGAGGATGAGGAGGAGGCAGGGGAGGAGGAGCAGGAGGAGTATGACGAGGAGACAATGGAATTGTTCCGCAGAGCGGAGTTCAACGCGTGGCTGCAGGCCGTGGTGGCACCCGCCATCGTGCACGAGCTCAACTTCCTCGCTGCCACCGCTGCAAACCCTAGCACCGCACCCAACCCTCTCACTGCCACCAGCACCTTCACGAGCATCACAGCCACCACCAGCACTGCTACTACTACCACTACTCCTGCTGAAACTGCTGCTGCGCTGCCTCTGCGAGTGGCCTTTACCGCGCTCACGGGGATGCAGGTGGAGACGGCAGTGGGCGCAGCTGCTCTCACAGGGGACGTGCGTCTTGCCGCCCTGCTCTCCCTCGCCCACTCCGCCCCCGCTGCCACGCGCGCTGATGCCGCCCGCCAGCTGGCGCTCTGGGAGAGGCTGGCCGGCGGGAAGGGAGATAGGGATGGGGGTTCGGGGGAAGAGGCGGTTTCGTTGCAAGAGTTGGCGGAAGGGGCGTTGGTGAGTGTGGAGAGGCTAAGGCTGCTGCGGCTAGTGGCTGGGGATGTGACTGGGGCGCTGGAGGGTCGGCCTCTGGACTGGAAGAGGCACCTCGGGCTGCTCATGTGGTTCGGCATGACCCCGGCCGAACCTCTAGGCTCGGTGATTGGGGAGTTTAGGAAGAGAGTGAGGGTTGGGAGGGTGCCGAGGGCGATTCCGTGGTATGAGGAGACGATTGGGGTGGAGGGGGGGGAGAGGGCGGAGTGGGAGCGGATTAGGGGAGGGATGGGGGGAGGCGAGGGGAAGGGGAAGGTGAAGGGGAAGGGAGAGGGAGAGGAAGAGGTGGAGAAGGGAGGAGTGGAAGATGTGCTTTATGGGTTGTTGGCTGTGCACTTGAAAGAGGAGATGGGGAAAGGGAAGTTGGAGAGCGTCGGTGCTGGTGATGGTGATGACGTGGCGGTTGATGTGGCAGCGATGCTGAGGTGGCGATCGTGGACCCGTGATGCGCTGGACTGCCATCTGACGTGGCATCTTCAGAGCGTGCTGCAGGTAACGTCTAATGCGCCCAGTCTGGTTCGCTGTGCCTCACAACACATCACAGGTTCACTTTTGAGTCGACTCAAACGTCTCATGCGCCCAGTCTGGTTCGCTGTGCCTCACAACACATCACAGGTTCACTTTTGAGTCGACTCAAACGTCTCATGCGCCCAGTCTGGTTCGCTGTGCCTCACAACACATCACAGGTTCACTTTTGAGTCGACTCAAACGTCTCATGTGCCCAGTCTGGTTCACTGTGCCTCACAACACATCACAGGTTTTGAGGCGCCCTGGTTCACTGCGCCTCACAACACATCACAGGTTCACCGAGTGCTGACTTCCCTCCTCTACCCACCTGCCACTCATTACCCTTAACGTTGAATACACCTTGAATACAAAACCTTAAACCCTTGCGTCCGAACCACTTCTCCTCCTCCAACCACAACAGGCCATAGGAGCGCTGAGGGCCAATGAGGTGCTGCCAGCTGTGCACATGGACTACGTGGCGCAGCTGCTAGCAGCCAACCAGCCCCACTGGGCGCTCTACTGCCTGCAGCACGTCCCGCCTTCCCGGAGGCTTCCGCGGTGGGCCCTGGAGCGCGCGTTCAGGGAGGTGCTGGCGGTGTCGTGCCCGGTGTGGGCGGCCAGTGAGGAGCAGCGGAGCTTTATCGAGGGCCAGCTGTTGGTGCCGCGTTCTTGGATGTGTGCTGCTCAGGTGGGTGTTCGATTAGCCCAGAAGGTAAAGGAAGGAGGGAGGCAGGGAGGTGCTGGCGGTGTCGTGCCCGGTGTGGGCGGCCAGTGAGGAGCAGCGGAGCTTTATCGAGGGCCAGCTGTTGGTGCCGCGTTCTTGGATGTGTGCTGCTCAGGTGGGTGTTCGATTAGCCCAGAAGGTAAAGGAAGGAGGGAGGCAGGGAGGTGCTGGCGGTGTCGTGCCCGGTGTGGGCGGCGAGTGAGGAGCAGCGCAGCTTCATTTAAGGAGAGCTCCCAGTGCCACGTTTTTTTTATGCGTGCTGCTCAGGTGGGTGGGTGGGAGAGAGCGAGGCAGTGAGTTTGTGAGAGTGAGAGAGAGTGAGTGAGGCACCATCGCCACAGAGTCCGCAAGCAGCAACCTCCTCACCTCCCCTGTCCTGCCTCTGCTCTGCCCTCCCCCTTCTCCCATCCCACCCACCAGGCGGTGCACCACCGCTACGAGGGCCGGCGCAACGACGAGCTGCAGTGCCTGCTGGGAAGCTTCCAGTGGGACCGCGCCCACCGCCTCTTCATGACCCACCTCGCTGCCGCGTGGATTCTCTCAGGTGCGCTATGGTGTTGCTTCCTGACTGGCTGTTGCTTCCTGACTGGCTGTTGCTTCCTGACTGGCTGTTGCTTCCTGACTGGCTGTTGCTTCCTGACTGGCTGTTGCTTCCTGACTGGCTGTTGCTTCCTGACTGGCTGTTGCTTCCTGACTGGCTGTTGCTTCCTGACTGGCTGTTGCTTCCTGACTGGCTGTTGCTTCCTGATTGGCTGTTGCTTCCTGACTGGCTGTTGCTTCCTGACTGGCTGTTGCTTCCTGACTGGCTGTTGCTTCCTGACTGGCTGTTGCTTCCTGACTGACTGGGCCTCATCAGGCGCGATGTTTGGTGTTCATGGCCTGTTGTTGTTGCACTCTAGCTGGTGCGTCGTTGGGATGCGCAAGGTGCTGCATGCTGAGGGGGTGATGGATGCTCTGTTGGACTGCTGCTGATGGGGGGCATGATGGGGGGCATGGGGGCACTGCTGCACTGCCACCACGAGTAAGTGGGGCAGCACTGTGCGCCTCGACTCTGCATGTGAACCACCTCGCTGCAGCTTACATCTTAGCAGGTGCCATCTTAGCAGGTGCCCCCTCCGCTCTCAACTACTCTTTTTTCCCTTCTGCTGCATAATTTTCGTGCCTGTACCCCGCAGAGCGGTGGGCGGAGGTGCAGCAACTGATGGAGGGGCTGGAGACGCATGGGGAGGCCATTTTCGGGTGGAAAGAGGGTGGGCGGCTGCTTTTGGACTACATGCACCTGTCTGCCGCCCTGGAAGGACAGGCAATTCTGCCGACGGAAGAACTGACGGTGAGTGGATGAGTGGATGGAGGAGAAAGGAAAGGGGGGGGAAGGGGGAGGGGGGGAAATGATATGTATTTTGTTATGTTAGGGCGCGTGTCCTTGAGGTCGAACTTTTGCCAAAGTTCGAACTTCTAGAAAGGTTGTACACGGTAGGATACAGTTGAGAGACGTGTCGCCATGGTACAGAGCGGTATTAGGCTCGAACTTTGACAATCTACACCAAAAGACACGCGCCCTTATCTTGGATTGGCCAACTTCAGCAGGGAAGCACATGTTGTGTTTGATGTCAGTCGCTATAAACGCGGTTGCAACCGAGCAGCTTCTGTTTGCGTTGCAATCGAAGCAGAATTGCTCTGTGCCTCCCTGTTTCGTGTGTGACCTTCTAACCAATCGCCGTCCGCCAGGTGTCAGTGGCTGACGGGGCGGAGGCGCTGTCGGAGTTCTCCCAGCGCACGGCTCAGTCTCTCCGCACCTTCCCCCACGACGCCGCTCGCCTGCAGTGAGTGCTTTACCATGCATGTGCAGGTGCATGTGCATGTGTATGTGCATGTGCATGTGCATGTGTGTGTGCATGTGCAGGTGCATGTGCGTGTGCATGTGCATGTGCATGTGCATGTGAATGTGCTTGTGCGAGTTTTAGAAGATGGCTGTTTTTTTATTGTTTGATGAAGCATACTCGGAAAGTCTTCACCGCATCGCTCACGAAACTTGAAAGAACTGGCAGGAATTGGGTCCCAAGCAGTTTCTCCCGTTCTGTTCCTCCTCTGAAATCTCTCTCCCTCACGGCAGCTTGGTGTATGCTTACCTGCTCGACTCAGCCTGCTCTCATTTTTACCTTTCCGCCCCACACTTCCCGCTTTCCGCCCCACACTTGCCGCTTTCCACCCCACACTTCCCGCTTTCCGCCCCACACTTCCCGCTTTACCCCCTTCCCCATGGCAGCATGGTGTATGCTCGCATGCTCGATTCGCTCTCTCGTTCCTTCCTCACCCACACAGCAACAGCCACAGCTGCTGCAAATGATGGTGAAGCAGCAGCAGCCGCCTCCGCTGCTCCCCTAGATGCAGCCCTAGCTACCTCTGCCCTCCCTGCCCTTCCTCGGGATTCCCGTCTCACTTTCACGCGCGAGGCGGCGTCAGAGCTCGCCAGCTGGCTTGCTGAGGTGGCACCGGTGCAGTAGTAGTTTGTAGTGAATCGTGATCATGGAGGCATTGTCTGGTGAAACACTAGGATTGCGCATCCAACTTCGTTTAGGTTTGCAAGTTGTACTGTTCTGTGGCTTGTTTACATTGCAAGGATGGAAGGCATAATTCCAGCTACATTGTCCACATCCAATGATGTGGCATTCTAGCATCATGTTCCCTCCCTACCCACGGCAGCAACAGGTCTAGCTACCAAATATGTTGTTGGAGAAAACAAAACACTGCCATCACGTAGACTGTTTTGAGGCGCCACAAGAAGCCCTTGAAATGAAATGCCTCAAACCTGCTGTCTTCCAGTCTTTGACGAGTTCTCTGATGAGGGGTTTCACAACAGCAGTTTGGGGTTTCACAACAACAGTTTGGGGTTTCACAACAGCAGTTTGGGGTTTCACAACAACGGTTTGGGGTTTCACAACAGCAGTTTGGGGTTTCACAACAACAGTTTGGGGTTTCACAACAGCAGTTTGGGGTTTCGCAACACCATTTTTCATTACCGTATGTCATCTTAATGAACAATACTGTCTTGCTTGCGAAGCAGCCTGTTTCCTAGTGGCACGCTTTAATAAGCTCTCTGGTGAGGCGCAGATGGCTATGTGAGGGGAAAGTACCGGTAGTCGAGGTGGTGCTTCTGCTGATAGCATCCCCTCCCACCACATCGTCCTGCCACCCGTCCAACATCTCCAATGCCAATGCCTCTAGCGCCTCCCTCTCCTCCGCCAAAGCATCCCTCTCCTCCTCCACCTCGCCCTCGTCCTCCACCTCCATTTCTTCATAATTTTTCTTATCCACTCCCTCCTGTCTCCTCTCCCACACGTGCTCATCCCTCGCTCTTTCCCTTTCCTCCTTACCCACTCCGTCTGTAGCCATGCCATCCCTCGCTGATGCCCCTGCTGCGTCATCTGTGCCTGCCACACTATCCTGCTTCCCCTTCTTCCATCGTTTAAACAACCCCCTCCAACCCCCTCGTTTCCGCTCTTCCCCAGTTGAACCTGCATTCCCACCATCCCCCCCAACTGATCTACCCCCCTGTGACCTACCCCCACCACCCACTCTCCCCCCGTGCAAGCTTTCACTCAGATACGCCTTCACCAGTCCACCCAGCACCGTCCCCTCCTGCTCCTCCTCCACAAACCTTTCCCGAGCCTCAGCCTCGGCCTTCCTCCCTCCCTGTCGGCACTTCCAAGCCTCAGGTCCGGGGTCAGCTCCGGGCCGAACGACCTTCAAAATACCCGAGCCTGCCGGGACCCCCTGGATGTTCACCTCTTCTGATTGGTCCACGTGGAGCCTTGAGAGCAGCGCCAGCTCGTCTCTGTCCAGCTGGCAGGCTGTGCTGGCAGCAGCAGCTGCTGCTTCGGCGTGTGCCGCTGCTGCTGCTGCTTCGGCTGCTTCTGAATCGCGCTGCTCCTGCTGTCGCTCCAGCTGCATGCGCGTGCGGAAAGAAAGAGCTGCTTTTCGCTCCAGCCGCGGCCGCGGCCGTGCCCCCTGCTGCTGCTGCTGCTGCTGCTGCTGCTGCCCCTGCTGCTGCTGGCGTTGGTGCTGCCAGGGCAAAGGCTCTTCTCCCCCCTGTGCCTTGTCAGCCGTCTCCCCACCCTCCCCATTCTCGTCACCCCACCACCCGAACGCCTGTCCTGATGCCATCCCATGCAGCACAGACAGCGAGGGCTCCGATAAACACGGGCTGGGAGGCTCCTCCCCCTCCTCCCCATCCTCGCTCCCTTTCCAAAGGTCACCTGCTGTCAAGAACGCATCGGAAGCACCCACTGTTCCATCCACAATGCCGTTTTCAGTCAGAAAATAGATCCCAGTGGTGGGGGTGTGGCCGGTGTGGTAAGAGGATGGGGAGGTGGTGACATTGTTCCCTGCAGAGCTTGCTACGTGTCTGCTTTTGAGGCGATTCAAAGAGCTGCCTCTATCGGTGCCAGCATCCCTGCCGGCGCCGCCACCAGCAGCACCACCACCGCCAGAGGAGCCTTCAAAAGGAGAGTACGGCCCTCCTCTTCCTCCACCTTCCCCCTCCACCACATCCTCTCTCACGCCCCCTCCGCCTCTGCCTCTGCCCCTGCCAGTGGGAGTGGTAGGAGCGCTGAAGGAGGCAGCAGCAGTGAGAGAACCCCCATGTGGGCCACTGTAAGGAGACATCATAGCGAAGCCCCCATGCTCATGCGCCCCACTGAAGGGGGACAGCAGAGAGCGTCGATGCTGCCCTTCGGACGACCCAGGGGCAGTCAGGAACGAGGTAGAAGGGCGGAAAGGCCGCAAAGAATCGTATCTTATGTCGGTGACCAGCGGCCTGTCATGTTCTGCCACGTGGCTGACGCGTATTGGCGGAAGCAGGTTGGGGCGATTGAGAGGGAAGCCGTGGTCCAGCCTTGGCCGGCCCGCGCTGCCGCCCCTCCCCTCCCTCTCACCACCAGTCGCAGCACCACCATTCCCACCACCACCATCACCAACGCCACCATCGTTTTCTGAGTTCATTACCTCGTCGCCCCTCCCACCTTCACCTTTCTCGCTCTCCCCTCTATCCCTTTTCCCCCTCTCCTCTTTCACTCTCCCCTCCTCCCCCTCCCCTCTCTCCTCCTCCCCCCTACCCTCCTTCCCCTTCTCCTCCTGCTTCTTCCGAGTCTCCTGTTCCCAGTCTAATGACTCCCCTCCCGTTCTCCTCCTCCCCCTCATCCTCCTTCGCAGTCCCATCTGCTCCCCATTACTCGCCTTCCTCGACCTACCATGTCCCTCTTTCTTCCCTTCACTCCCCTCCACTGCCTTCCCACCACCCCCACCACCAGCATCAGACCCTCTTCCTGACCCACCCTCCCCACCCGCCTGCCACTCATTCCCCTCCCGCCCCTCACCCCCCTCCGCTCCTCCCTCCTTCCTCTCACCCCCCTCACTCTCCCTGCTTCTCACCCCCCTCACCTCCTCCTCCTCCCTCCTCTCTGCTTCCTCTGTACTGATCACAGTCACCGCCAACCGCACTCGACCGCGCCCCACTCCTCTCAACGTCTCCCACATCTCCCGCCTGCCGCCCCGCCGGTACCTCCCGACGTCCACCACACAATAGCTGGTGGGAGAGGGGGAGAGTGAGAGAGGGAGCGAGTGAAGGAACGAAGACCTGTAATAACAAATAACGCCCTATGTACTGACAGCTGGGCAGTAACGGCACAACATAAAAACCCTGCACTACCGCTATCCAAGGACCTGCCAGCACCTTCCAGCACCTGCCAGCACCTGCCAGCACCTTCCAGCACCTGCCAGCACCTTCCAGCACCTGCCAGCACCTGCCAGCACCTTCCAGCACCTGCCAGCACCTGCCAGCAACTGCCAGCACCTTCCAGCACCTGCCAGGATCTGGCATCTGCCCTGCCAGCTACCACTCACCCAAGGTCCTTGGAGCAGAGAAACGATTTATCCAGCACGCGCAGCACGAGCAGGTTGCTCAGACGCCACGAGAACACCGGCGCCGTGAACTCGGCAAACCACTGCGGGTCCAGCGACCCCCACACGATGCGCGTCGTGAAGCCAAGCCAACTGCCCCCAGCACTCACTCACCCGAGGTCTTTAGAGCAAAGAAATGACTTGTCGAGCACTCTCAGCACGAGCAGGTTGCTGAGGCGCCAAGAAAAAACCGGAGCAGTGAACTCGGCGAACCACTGCGGGTCCAGCGACCCCCACACGATGCGCGTGGTGAAGCGCGCCGCTCCCAGCGCACACTTGACGTACGCGTCCGACGTGCCGTCGAGGTTGGCGGGCTTTAAGTGCCTCGCCTCGATGATTTCGACGGCCACGAAGGCCACTGGGCGGGAGGAGTCGACGTGGAGAGCGGCGGTGAGTGGGGGGAGCGGATGGGGCTGGGACGGGGAGGTTGGGACTGCTAAGGGTGCTGAGGGGGTTGAGGGTGTTGGGTGCTGAGGGGAAGTGCGTGTGGGTGTGGGTGTTGCTGCTGTTGGATTGGTGGCTGCAGGGGAGTGAGGAACGAACTGGGAGATGCCAGCTGCTTGGGCGGCGGCGAGCATGGCAGGCGGGAAGGGAGGCACGGAGGAGGAGATGGGAGAGATGCTGGCAGCACTGGGGACAGAAGAAGCGACAGTTGAAGTGGCAGTGGCAGCACTGGGGACAGAAGAAGCGACAGTTGAAGTGGCAGTGGCAGCGCTGGGAACGGAAGAAGCAACATTTGAAATGGCAGTGGGAGCAGGTGAGACAGCAGCGGATGCTGCCTGGCTTGCTTGCTCGGAGCAGTGCGTGCAGTGAGGGCAGTGCGGACGGTGAGGGTGGTGTGCGGAGTGATGTGAAGGGTGAGGGGGGTGCGGAAGAGAGGAAGCGGCGGGTGAGGGTGAGAGAAAGAGGTGGGCGAGACGGGCGACGTCGAGGACGAGCATATTGGGTGCGACCATTGAGGATTCCAACGCTGTTGCCAGCATCTCATCCTGTGCACACGTGCACGAAGGGGGAAAGGAAGGGGGGGTGGGGTTTTGAGGTGCCTCAAAAGGGGAGGGCGAGACGGGCGACGTCGAGGACGAGCATGTTGGGCTGTTGAGCACTCAACATTGATGATTCCAGTGCTGTTGCTAGCATCTCGTGACTTTTGAGTCGACTCAAAAGTCAGCATGTTGGGCTGTTGAGCACTCAACATTGATGATTCCAGTGCTGTTGCTAGCATCTCGTGACTTTTGAGTCGACTCAAAAGTCAACATGTTGGGCTGTTGAGCACTCAACATTGATGATTCCAGTGCTGTTGCTAGCATCTCGTGACTTTTGAGTCGACTCAAAAGTCAGCATGTTGGGCTGTTGAGCACTCAACATTGATGATTCCAGTGCTGTTGCTAGCATCTCGTGACTTTTGAGTCGACTCAAAAGTCAGCATGTTGGGCTGTTGAGCACTCAACATTGATGATTCCAGTGCTGTTGCTAGCATCTCGTGACTTTTGAGTCGACTCAAAAGTCAGCATGTTGGGCTGTTGAGCACTCAACATTGATGATTCCAGTGCTGTTGCTAGCATCTCGTGACTTTTGAGTCGACTCAAAAGTCAGCATGTTGGGCTGTTGAGCACTCAACATTGATGATTCCAGTGCTCTTGCTAGCATCTCGTGACTTTTGAGTCGACTCAAAAGTCAGCATGTTGGGCTGTTGAGCACTCAACATTGATGATTCCAGTGCTGTTGCTAGCATCTCGTGACTTTTGAGTCGACTCAAAAGTCAGCATGTTGGGCTGTTGAGCACTCAACATTGATGATTCCAGTGCTCTTGCTAGCATCTCGTGACTTTTGAGTCGACTCAAAAGTCAGCATGTTGGGCTGTTGAGCACTCAACATTGATGATTCCAGTGCTGTTGCTAGCATCTCGTCCTGTGGTGTGTGCATGTGTGCATGCAAGGGGTGCATGAGTGCATGAGTGCACCCATCCACCCAAGCACCCACGCACCCATCCACCCATGCACCCATGCACCCATCCTGTGTTGCAGAAGACGCGTCCTGCGTCTGGACGTGCGTCCTGGACGCGTTGCGTCCAGACGCAGCGTCTTAGACGCAGGACGCAGTTGAAGGGGTCCCGAGACGCTAAAAAGACGCAGGGCCGGGCAGGGTAAAAAAAATGTTGGGGCATGCAAAAAAACCGTCTAGGAGGGGGAGAGAGGGGGTTTCGGGACATTGCAACCACATTGAACGTGGATTATCCTGAAAACCTTCCCTAAACACCAGATTTTTACACACATAGTTAAACCGAGATTTAGGGTTTTCGAAAGAAAATCAGGTCGACTAGGAGAGAAAGCTCTGAATGTTGACCTGATCCACTTCTTACATGAGGTTCAGGTCGACAAAGGTTGGGGGAAGAAGATGCAGTGCGGTAATGTGTGGTGGTTGGGGGAAAAATGGTTTGCTAGCGATTTTGCCTTGCAAAATGGGCAAAATGGCTCCCATTCGTTTGCGATTTTGCTTGGCGACATCGCTCCCATGGAGTTGCCTGATTTATTTTCGGGCAGCCCGAAAAAAATCCGCTTTGCGTCCTGCGTCTAAGAGTGCGTCCTCTGCAACTTAGCACCCATCCACCCATGCACCCATCCACCCATGCACCCATCCACCCATGCACCCATCCACCCATCCAACCATCCACCCATGCACCCATGCACCCATGCACCCATGCACCCATCCAACCATCCACCCATGCACCCATGCACCCATGCACCCATGCACCCATCCACCCATGCACCCATGCACCCATGCACCCATGCACCCATGCACCCACCACCCCACGCAGCAGCCAGAATCAGAGGTGAGCTGAGGGCTTGCTGGAGGAAGGGTGTCATCATGTCAGTTGACTCAAATGGCTTTTGAGGCGCCTCAAAAGCAGAATCAGAGGTGAGCTGAGGGCTTGCATCACCGTGCCGTTCAGTTGACTCAAATGGCCGCTGCAATCCCATGCCATGCCCCCCCACACCCACACAGAGCACGCACCAGCCAGGAGCTGAAGAAGGGCAGGTCAGCGAGGTTGAATCCAATATGGGCCACCGGCTTCACGGTGAGCCCAATGAAGGGCGCCCTCATGCCCACCCACCCACCCACCAATCTAAGGTACATCCCCCCACACACCCACACAGAGCACGCACCAGCCAGGAGCTGAAGAAGGGCAGGTCAGCGAGGTTGAATCCGAGGTGGGCTGAGGGCTTGACAGTGAGCCCGATGAACGGCGCCCCCACGAAGCTCACTCGCACGCGACTCACGTACGGAAACTCCGAGGTGAACCTCATCCCGATCCTCGTCTGCAGGATCGGGATTCATGGAGGCGAGGAAGGCAGGGAGGAGTGAGGATGCCGGATACAATGAGGAGAACCCTAGACAGGGAAAGTTATGTTGCTAGCTATCCTCTGCAGCACAACACGTCTAACCCAGGCTTGACAGTGAGTCCCAGCATCCCACCTCCTCCACATCCTGCCTGCATCCCACCTTCCCTTCTATGTGCACGCCCGACACGTGCCCCTTTGCCACCATGCCCAGTGCCACGCGACGCCTCATCTTCACCCCCACCAAGGCATACATGTCGGTGCACGCTGCAAACTCCGTGGCTGCCTCTATGACCTGCAGAGGAGGGTAGAACGGGGAGGGAGAAGGGAGGAGAGGGGGGGAGGAGTCTAGACAGCCGCATCTTCACCCCCACCAGGGCATACCATACCGTGCAAAACCATACCATGCCATCACGGCACCACAGGCACACAAACCCCATCACATCACATTATCACACCACTGTCACACAGCACCGCACCCCACCGCGTCGTACCACGTGGTCATCAAGAGTGTTGGTGTGCACGACCCTGACAGCAGCAATGACGGGCGGCGAACTGCCCAGATACACCCGCTCTAACCACGCCTTGCGCTGCCCGTGGGGAGGGAGAGAGGGGGGGAGAGGAGAGGAGAGGAGGGAAGACGGGGGTCTGAGTCGGGGCAAGAGTCACCCCAGATACACCCGCTCCAACCACGCCTTGCGCTGCACATGCGGGAAGGGTGCAGGAGCATGTGGGCCCATGCTCATGCTCACCGTCTGCCAGCCCCTATGGCCCAACCACAACCCACTGCACCCATTCCCGCCCCCTGTACCCCAGCTCACCGCCTGCCAGGGCAGGTACTTCTCGAAGAACCGGGAGCCAAAGCAGGAGCAAGCTGAGTGGACAGCAGGCGCTCGAGAAAGACGGGCCAGGCGCGCTGCACGAGCGCGTTAAGCCAGTGCGCTGTCTCCCACCCCTTTACATCCAGTGCAACCCCCACTCACCGCCTGCCAGGGCAGGTACTTTTCGAAGAACCAGAGCGCGAGAGCCGGAGTGAGCTGAGTGGACAGCAGGCGCTCGAGAAAGACGGGCGAGGCGCGCTGCACGACCGCGTTCAGCCAGTGCGCCCATTCCCACCCCACTGCACCCATTCCCACCCCCTATGCCCCAACTCACAGCCTGCCAGGGGCGGTATTTCTCAAAGAACCAGGGGACGAGGGCGGGGGCGAGCTGGGTGGACAGCAGGCGTTCCATGAACACAGGCCAGGCGCGCTGAACGAACGCGTTCAGCCAATGCGCCCATTCCCACCCCCTCTACACCCCAGTGCACCCATTCCCGTCCCCTACGCCCCAACTCCCCAACTCACGGCCTGCCAGGGGCGGTATTTCTCAAAGAACCAGGGCGCGAGGGCGGGGGCGAGCTGAGTGGACAGCAGGCGCTCGAGAAAGACGGGCCAGGCGCGCTGCACGAGCGCGTTAAGCCAGTGCGCCGTCTCCGAGTCCCCCATGGGATGCCGCTGCAGCACCGCCTGTAGCGCCGCCACCCGCGCAGCCTTGACCTCTCGCACCCTCTGTCGCTTGGACACCTGTTGGGAGGAGTGGGAGGGAGGGAGGGGGGAGAGACATGGGCCGGTTATTGAACTCTCTGCTGCTAGGACACCTGCAAGAGGGTTGGCCGGACGGGGCTGTCATGCCGGCTCAAAACCAGATCACTAGCACGAAAAAACGGAGGAGAAAAAAAAAAAAAATTTCAAAGAGACAGAAGCGACCACATCCTTATACTATGGCTGCAATTAGCTTTGTTTTACCTCATGGTACACGAACAGGCACACTAGCAGCACGGGAAGGAGGCCGAACCGCACGCGGCCCGCCAACCAGGACAGTGAGAGTAGCAATCCGATTAGGAACAGCCCCGACCATTGCGGCGGGAAATGCGGGATGTCGCCCAGGAGGCGGCTCGTGAGCGCCAAGATCCCGAGCCCGCCGTCCGAGCGAGCTCCAGAGCGCGCTGACGTGTCACTTCGAGAATACCGTGGCGAATTATTGCTTGGGGGGAGGATGGCTTCTGATTGGTCGAAGGAAAACGGGTGACTCATCAGCTGGAGCTGACGTCAGAAGAATTCGAGGCTGGCCTCAGCCGGATAGAAGAGGCGTGGTGCGGAGAAGAGAGGGAAGAGTAAGTGAGCGAGGGGTACGGTAGCAGGAGGATGAAGGACAGTATGGTAGCTAATGGAACGCTGCTCGCGTGACACATATGAGCAAGCAATTTACGTGTTGTGGTGGGACAACAATCGAGGGACGAAAAAACTTCGCCATAAGGTGGCTCGAGAAGGCCAAAATGAGAACGCAGCGTATTCCTCTATATTAGTGGGAGGGTGTAGGTAACGCTACTCTTAAGCTTGTAAAGAGCTTATCATGGTTGTGAAGTCTCAACTCTTTCCATCTCCGTCAATCATGGTTACATGTGAACACCTACATTATACATGGGGTAGAGACGGCCATCTAAATTCTCATTCCTCCTGTTGCATACACTCACTACAAGAAATAACAAACTTTCTAGAACATCTTGTGCTCAAGCAATACGCTCCTTGATTTCCTTCAACCCATTTCTTCCCAGATCGTTTTGATCGTGGCCCTGGGTGAAAGAGATTCCATGACACCCTCCCAAGGCACCTCAAATCAAAAGCCATATCTACAACGCTTTATTAACTCAAGCATCGCTCTCCTCCGCAATCTCCTTCTCTGACTTCTTCCCAAACCCCTTGGGCGTGGCGCGGGGCGGTGACTTCATGGCGGCGCGGATCTCAGACGTGGCTGTTGGCCGCTTCACCGGTTCTGCTGCTGCCAGCTTCTCCATCTCCCTCTTGTCCTGCCAGTCTGTGTACGCCAGGTACGCCACCTGGGGAAGAGGTAGAAGGGACAGGGGAGAGCAGCAGGAAAGTGGAGAGCAGGGATGGATAAAAAGGGGATTCACCAGCTCTGCTGCTGCCAGCTTCTCCATCTCCCTCTTGTCCTGCCAGTCCGTGTATGCCAGGTACGCCACCTGGAGTGGGGGGAAGGAAAGGAAGTGGGAGCAGGAATGGGTGAAAGGGGAATTTCCCGGCTCTGCTGCTGCCAGCTTCTCCATCCCCCTCTTGTCCTGCCAGTCCATGTACGCCAGGTACCCCACCTGGAGTGAAGAGAAGAGAGAGAGGGGAGCAGCAGGGAAGAGAAGAGCAGGGATGGATGAAGAGCCCGCTTCACCGGCTCCGCTGCTGCCAGCTTCTCCATCTCCCTCTTGTCCTGCCAGGCCGTGTAAGATATCTCCCCAGCTCGTGGGGGGTAAGAAGGTGGGGGGGGGGGGAAGAGGGCGCGGGGGCGAGGGGTGAGAAAGAGGCAGCGATGAGAGGAGAGGAGAGTCAAACAGAGGGTTTACAGGCTCCGCTGCCGCCAGGTACTCTATGTTTTTTGAGAATTCTCAAACAACATACACGCCAGGTACTCCAGCTTTCTCACCGCGAGCTAGAGGGGAAGTGGGGAGAAGGAAGATATTTTAGGCGCCTATTTTTTTTGGTATGATTTTTTAGGCGCCTCAAAATTCGTCCCAGATATGCCAGCTTTCTCACCGTGTGCTGGAGGGGAAGTGGGGGGAAGACGGGGCAGAGACACAGAGGGGGCTTGAAGAGGGAATTCACAGGCAGCCCAGTGCGTCAGGTGGGGTACCTGGCGTGCAACCGCACAGGCAGCCCGTGCACGCCAGGTACCCCACCTGACGCACTGGGGGCCTCTGATTTGATTAGAAAGGTGCGTGACCCCCACCCCAGAGCGCAATGCACCTCTGACATCGAGTTTCGAGACATCACGATTTTGAGCCTTGAGACGTCTCAACAACTCCGCTGTTGCTAGCCACCTGCTCGTGGTAAAAGGCACAGGGGTGTGGGAGTGAGGGAAGGCGGGTGGAAGGCCGGGTGCGTGGGTAAGACGACAGGATACGGGAACGGAGCAAGCAGGGATGGAGAACGGACAGGAGAGGCGTGACAAGGGAAGGAGATATCGTAAAGCGGTCGTATGGACTTTTTCCATCTTCCCCTCACCCTGGCACCCAGAGTAGTGCTGCAACATGCCCCCCGTGTTCCTGGTGCGTGCATTGCTGGCACCGTGGCACGGACAGCAGGGGCGTATCGTCTGGGAGAAATTCACAGGCCAAATGGGCCATGACTGGGACCGGAGGTGTGATTTCAGTGACCTGCGTTCAGTTTCCTCCTGCCTTTAGGTTCTTTTCGCGCGATTCTTCAAGGTCAACCACATTGGGTCAAAGGTTGACGAAAATTGACTCGTTAGTTGCAATTGAGCGCAATACAGTTCTCAAGGTTCCTTGTGGTACGCAAGGTCAAGGTTCCTCTGCCTGACAATTTGGACTTGAGAGTTCTCAAACTTCTCGTGTCTGACCACTGATAGGACTTTGAAAGGAATTCACAAACCTTAATAGTTTTACCCAATTTTCAGAAAGGCACTCACTCACCCCGCCAGTCAGCACGACCAGTCCGACGACAGCGACGCCGAAGAGTAGCGAAATGACGCTGTTGGTAACGGGCTCGCCGCTGCCCGCAGCCGTGAGCACGTCGGCGCCGTTCTCGAAGAGCGGAACGGACTCCGCCAGCACCCGATCCGCGACGATAAGCGGAAGCAGCGGGAGGAGAGATAGCAGAGAGAGTGGGACAGAAGGAAAAGAGACGGGAGGTTGAACCGTGACGGGAGGAGGTGAGAATGCCGCCAGCGCACCCGATTCGCTAATGTCACATTCTGAGCTACGAGAGAGTTGACTGGAAGCCCGCGTGCATTCTACTGCGCGGGTGATGCTTGTTCTGGTTCTCGGAAAGGCATTGTGAAGGCTCGCGTGAAATGCGGGCGTGGGACGTAGTTGGCTGGCCGCGGCTCGGTGTTGATGGAGGGAGACATGGACAAGATTGCCCGCCGCGATGAGCGGGGTAGCTGTGAGAACGCCCGGCATGGCGACAACGGATCGTCGCACGACGCGGACTGACGAAGGAAGGGGTTCGACGAGCCGACGCGCTGACCTTTCACGTGAAAGGGGTACGTCACGTGAATAGATTACTCCTGTCTGTCACCTATGTTCGCTACCTGCAGCAAACAAGACTCTGCCAAGACAGCTAGGGAAGGGAATTGGGGAAGGGGAGGGAAGTGGGAGTGAATTTTGTTTCTGCCACGTGTAATTTTTGCGATTGTCAGGGGCTTCGGAAGTTTCGGGATGCAATCAGGCTGTGCCACGTTGGCCGACCAGGGTATTGGTCCTTACAGCCCTTGTTCGGGTATTGATGAGTCTACAGTGTACAAATTCGTGAGATTCAGATATAAAATTATCACTTAAAAATCAGGATTGGACAGCAGGAAACAACCTTGCATTTCTAAGCACATAGTAGCATTAAAACGCAAGGCTGTTCCCCCTGTCACCTACCGCACCCCAAACCACCCAATTCACAATCACAGTCCCCACACCAACAGATAACCCTTCCCCTAATTTCCTCCCATACCCAGTCTTCCCTCTGCATCCCCTCTAGTATCGGCCCCAGTAAGACGTCGCAGCCGGAGGGTTCCGGGCCGCAAACGACCCAAGAGCAGCACCATTGGGATACGCATCAGTGGTGCCCACCGCATAGTAAGAAGCAGGATTCGCCAGAAGCAGATCCATCACATCCTTATAAGTCGGCCCGGCCGCCGTGGTAATAGTGCTCGCGTTATACCACATCCCAGCAAACCCATAAACAAATCCCGAGGGAACAGGAGGGCGGAAGAAGCCGAAAAACTTAGGGAAGGGCGGCTGGCGGCGGGCGCCGCGCTTCAGAGTACCATTGGCGTTCAGTGCAGAGCAGTTTCCAGACCACGTGAGATTGGTCCATGTGGCACTGGCGCCGAAATCCAGGACAACTGCTGACGTGGCGTTGTCGTTGATGGTGATGGATGTGGGCAGGCCCGCATCGGTGAGCTTGAGGGCGGCGCCGTAGCGAATGTTGTAGTCGCCGCTGTAACTGCGGGAGGGAAGGAGAGTGATTGTAACGAACGAGAGAGAACAAGTAATAAGAGTCAAAACAAGCGCGATTGTTACCAACAGGCGGCACCGCAGGAGCACGGCACTGTGATGTGGATAGCCCACAAACAGCAGCGAGTCAAAATAAGGGTGGCGTGGCCGTTTGAGGTTGGCGTCTTACTTGTAGACGGCGAGCAGCACGACGCCCGTAGCGTTGACGTCGCCCGTGACTGTGCCTGATGCGTCAGCCACGTTGTTACCCAGCATGCGCGCCGCCAGTGCGCCTGTGCGGTGGCAAGGGAAGGGACCGCAGGTGTGTGAGTGACTGATGCGTGAGAGAAGGAGAGGGAGAGAGAGAGAGGGAGGAAGAGAGAGGAAGGGAGAGAGGGAGAGAGGGAGAGAGAAAGAGAGAGAGAGAGAGAGAGAGAGAGAGAGAGAGAGAGAGAGAGAGAGAGAGAGAGAGAGAGAGAGAGAGAGAGAGAGAAAGTGAGAGAGGGAGAGGGAGAGGGAGAGAGAGGGAGAGATGCGAAAAAAAAAATGCTGACAACGGAGGAGAAACTCACCGATGCGAGTGCCTGGGTGGCCGCCGAACTGCCCCCATCTGCCCTGGCCCCACCTGAAGCCCCCGCCGCCTCTGCCACCCTGACCGTAGCCGGGTGCCATCCTGTAGGCCGCACCTGCAGTGAGCGGGATGGAAGAAATTAGGGTTAGCGAGCGACAGGCGTGTGAGGCAGAATAACTACCGAGTTTCGCGGCATGATGCTTGGGAAGTTCAGGGTGCGAGTGCACTTACATGACAGAGCGAGCGAGAGGAGGAAGAGCGCGAAAAGAGTTGTCTTGGCAGCCATGGTCGCTGGGATTTACAGACTGACAGCGACTGCTAATAAATCTTGCGATGCTTCAGCGTTGTTTAGACTGGCTTGTCCCAAAAATCAACGGCGATGCTAGGGTTTCAAACACCGGGAAGAGATAGACTGGCTGAGACGATGGAATTCGAGACGAGCAAACACGCTCTGTTGCTGTGTACTGGATGTGCTACTGATCTAGCGTGGAGCCATCTTATATTGTATCATCACAGGAGCCCACAGTGGCGCGGGTTTGTGGCTGAAGGGTGGTGGTGGATGCGCGGCGGGGAGAGAAGGGAGGCAGGAATGTTCAAAAGCCAGCTCGCGTATCACGCGGCTAGGGGAGGAGGGGAGACCATTCAAACTTGGCGATTTAGGAGGCAGATTTGTCGGCCGTTTCTGACGGCCACTCTTGTCCTTTTGTGAGGATGGCGGGGAAACCCTCCCCTCTCAACAACCTTGAGCGAATCGATGTATCCAGGTATGTTGTTCGTTGGGCTTGAGCGAAATAGTTCGCCGTGTCGGTCAGCGAAGTGGCTCTTTCGTTCGACGAGGTGTTTCTCGGGGAAGATTCGGGGGATCCATGACAGCTTCCACCCGTGCTCGATCCGTCCATCCATCCTTCCCTGCCTCTTTCTCCACCACTCGATCCCAGGAATGCCGAAAATTCTTCCCTTTTCAACGCCCCGACCGAGTCCGACACCTGGGGGTTGTAATCTGTTAGTGACTGACGCGTTAGGCGAAGCATTTCGTAGTCTCGACGTTGTTTCGTACCTAGTATCTTCGAATTGCTGGTGCCACGTCACCTACTCACAAACATATCACAAATCCACAGTACCATAGGTGCATTACCATTCTAAACCATCCAATCCAGCATAACAATTTTGGGAAACTGTGATGAATCAGAGCCAATTCTCCTGTCAAACAATTCAGTTTCCAGCCCCGGCCTTAGCAGCAACGAATGGAACACGCCAAGCAAAGAAACGACTGCACTGCCATTCACCAGTGCAGCCTAGCAAATGCTCAGCTCAGGTGATACGCCAGGTTTGTCTCATGGGAAGCATCTGGCAGCAGCATTGCTGACGTGGCATTGCAAGGAACAAGCTAGGTAAGGCAGACCTAAGAAGACTTTCCGCCTGCCAGGAAACACAACAGCACAAGTGGGAAACCAGCCGCAGAAGGTTCCGACATAAGTCGGGCTAAAAGAAAGGCAATTAACTGCCATGACAACATGGGCCAACAGATGAAGAGCATGTGTAACACTCATGCACATCACACACTCCCTCTCCCTCCCTACTGCGGGCCAACACACTTACCCTATTGCGGGCCGAACACTCGTATGCGCTGGGCAACAGGGGCGCGGCAGGTCGGGCAGTCGTTCATGCGGCGGGCGAGCAGAGCGTCGTTGCAGGCGAGGCACACGATCTGGTGGGCGCACGGCAGGAACACCACCTGTACCTCCTCGCTCATGCACATCACACACTCCCTCTCCCTCCTCACTCCCCCTCCTCCTCCTCCCATGCCCATCCCGAACACTGGCCCCATTCCCAGCCCTGCCCCAAGGCTTGCTCCTGCTCCTGCTCCTCCCCCGCCTAGAACAATCCCGCCAAGGCCAATGTGGGGCAGCAGGGCGCCATGGCCTGCTGTGGTGCCTGCAGCAGCAGCAGACGCAGGGTTGCCGGTGAGACTGCCACTGAGAATGCCTCCCCCTCCCCCTCCTCCTGCTACTCCCCCTCCCCCTCCGCCTCCACCTCCCCCTCCCCCTCCCCCTGCCCCGCCCCCTCCCCCTCCCCGTGCCCCCCCAATGACCCCATGATTGCGCCCCCCTCCGTGCCCTGCTGCCGCTCCCTGCCTCCCCCCCTTGCCTGCAACCCCTGCCCCTCCTGCCCCTCCCAAGCCTGCTCCCCCAAAGTGTATCCCATTCAGTGGTACCACTCCTGCCACTCCTGCCGTTCCTGTGACTCCAGACATCCCACCCATCCCTGCAACAGTACCAAGCTGACCCATCACCCTCTGCCCACCACCCAACCCAACACCCCCACCAGCAACAGCGGCAGCGGCAGCAGCAGTGGCAGCAGCAGCAGCGGGGGAAGAGCCAGGAGGATGAGCAGCAGCAGCAGCAGCAGGAGTCCCCATGGGGAAATCAAAAAGGACTCCCCGTGCATTCGCCTCTCTCAGAGCCTGCGCACTCGCTGCCGCCACCACACTCGCCGCCACACTGCTACTACTACCACCACTACCCCCACCTCCACCCCCGTTCCCACTCCCACTCCCCCCACTACCACCAGCGCCAACCCCACTCCCCAACAACCCCACGCCACCACCCCTCGACCCACCAGCACCTACACACCCCACTCCCACCCCTCCCGCACCCCCGCTACTGCCCCCACCGCTCCCACCCCACAGGCTCGCTCCGGCCATGATCCTCAGCTGCACCACCTCCCTCTCTAGTCTCGCCACCTCGCCGCGAACCCTTTTCACGTCCGCCTCGCTCTTGGCTCTGAGTGTCTCCTCGCGCTGCTTCCACGCCGTCTCCGCCTGCTCGCGCGCGCGGCACTCAGCGTCGGCGCGAGAAGTTGCCTCCTCTCGGGCTTTCTCCTCCTGCCGCCACCGCTGCTCCGCCTGCTGCTGCCGCCGCCGCGTCGCTTCCAAGTCGGACAGGGCCGTTGCCAGCTTGCGCCTCTCCTCCCCTAGCTCCTCCTGTAAGGGAAAGGGCAAGGGGCAAATGTAATTTGAATTTGCGCCTCTCCTCCCCTAGCTCCTCCTGTGGGGGCGAGGGGGGCATATGGAATCATGTGGCAGGCAAGGTGGTTTCCGCATGGGGAGACGATTCGTGAGGGGTCACAATGCTTCCAGGTCGGACAGGGCCGTTGTCAGCTTACGCCTCTCCTCCCCTAGCTCCTCCTGTGGGGGACAGCATTCACACACGTGGGATGCAGCGAATCTCACTAGCTATACACCAGCGAGGTGATTTGGAGGTTGCGAGCTTGGGTGGTGCAAGTTCGCACCTGTGAGAGAATTGAAAAAAACAACAGCAACATTTGGCCACAACACCCACTTGCAGCTTCACCATCACCAGCTCAATCGCTTCCACCCTCTTGAGCGCATTGCCTTCCTGCTTTCCCGGGAGATCACTGAATACACTGGCTGCTTCTACACGTCTCCCTCACACCCACCTGCAGCTTCGCCTTGACCCTCTCGATCGCCTGCACCCTCTTGAGCGCCTTGCCCTCCCGCTTGCCCGCCTCTGCCAGCTTGGCACTCGCCTCGCTCACCCTCAGCCCCGCCGCCTGCAGCTCCGCTCGCAGCTGAGAAGGACACAAGAGAGGGAATATGGGGGAGGCACGGGGGGGAGGACGAGGGGGGTTGGGCGAGAGGTGAGCACACAGCAGACCAGCTTATATGGCGACAGCTTGGCACTCGCCTCGCTCACCCTCAGCCCCGCCGCCTGCAGCTCCGCTCGCAGCTGAGAAGGAGCATAGGGAGTATGGGGAAAATGGGGAGAACGAGAGGTGAAGCCATGCTCAGCCAAATTCTATGCACATAAAGAATTCTGTTGTTTTTGTTTTTGTTTTTGTTTTTTTTTTGTTTTTTTTTTTTTTTTTTTTTTTTTTTTTCAAAACATACGGCTGAACCATCACTCCTCCCCACCACCCCAAATCCCCAACGCACCTCTGCATTCTCTGCCTCCAGGCGGCACACGGCCACGTTGGCACAGTCAACCTGCCCCGACGCCTTCCGGAGGGCCGCCTCCATCTCGCCCAGCTGCCTTAACTCGCCTCACACTGAGAGACCCTAAACCCCAAACCCAAACTCACCTCAGCGTTCTCTGCTTCCAGCCGACAAACAGCAGCGTTGGCACGGTCAACCTGCCCCGACGCCTTCCGGAGGGCCGCCTCCATCTCGCCCAGCTGGCGCGCGGCGCTCTCCTCCTTGCCGTCCTGCTCGCGCCGGCTGCGCACCCACTCCTCCCGCTCCGCCCTCAGCTGCCGCAGCTCCTTGCTCTCCCTCACCAGCTTCTGCGCCACCTGCATCACCTGTAAAGGGAAGGAAAGGGGGGAGTGGAGGAAAAGCGAACCGGGGGGAAGAGTCGGGGGGAACAGAGGGCCAAAGGGGCGAATGGAGGGAGAAAGGGGGGGAACCGGTGTTGAGGAAGGAAGTCAGGGTGAGGGAAGGGGAGGAGAAAAGAGAGATCTCGGCTGCGCACCCATTCCTCCCCCTCCGCCCTCAGCTGCCGCAGCTCCTTGCTCTCCCTCACCAGCTTCTGCGCCACCTGCATCACCTGTATGGGGGATGGGGGAAAGGGGGAACAGAGAGTGAATGGGGGGACGGTGTGGGGTATGAAGAGGGAAGGGTGTGAGGGAAGGACCCACGAAGAGAAGGGAAGGGAAGAGAAGAGTGAAGTGGGGAGGAGCGGGAGCAGTGGAGGAAGAGAAGGAGGGGGGCGGAGGCGAAAAGTTTGAATGGAGGGAAGTAAAGAAGAAGAGTATTAGGGGGACAGTGAAGGAGACAAGGGAAGCGGGCTCTTGTCCTTGCTGTCGTTGTCACGCCAACTGCGCACCCACTTGTGATGAGACGATTTCTTAGTCGACTCAGAGAAAGAGGAGGAGTATCATCAGGGGGGCAGTGAAGAAGACGAGGGAAGAGAGCTCTTGTCCTTGCCGTCGTGGCCACGCTGACTGCGCACCCTCTCCTCCCCTCCCACTTTTTGAAATCTTGATTCCATCCAACCAGGAGAGAAACAGAGCACGCTGGTTCGCTGCACTGACAGAGTGATTCCATCCAACCAGGAAAGAAAACTCTCGAGAAACAACAGCTCTGCTGTTACTTATGAGAATTCTCAAAAACTCACTTTCGAGAATTCTCAAAAACTCTCGAGAAACAACAGCTCGGCTGTTAAACTTTGCGTTTCAACGATAGCCCCCGCCCTCCCCCAGTCAGCCCCTGCTTCTTCCCCACCCCCTCCCCCACTCACGCGCTGCTGCGCCCAGTGCTAGCTGTCAGCCACCTCCTCGTCCAACGAGAAACAGACGGATAGCGGCATGACCCCCCAACCCCCCACCTCGTCACACCTCCTCCCGTTTCCTGCTTTCCCCCACTCACGCGCTGCTGCACCCAGTGCTTGCTGTCGTCCACTGCCGCCTCCAGCTCCCTGCTTGCCTTCTCTCGTCTCCCCCTGTCAACCTTTCTACCACCACCCCTCCCCACCTCCACCCACACTCACGCGCTGCTGCGCCCAGTGCTTGCTGTCGTCCACTGCTGCTTCCAGCTCCCTCACCCTCGCCTCCAGCCATGCCGTGTGCTGCTCCTTCCGCTCGTCCACCTGGCAGGGGGGTATGGGCGGACAGATGCAAGGGTAGGGGAAGGGGGAGGATGGTAGAGTAGGCTGAGGGTCGACTCAGAGCCTCCAGCTCTCTCACCCTCGCCTCCAGCCATGCCATGTGCTGCTCCTTCCGCTCGTACACCTGGCAGGGGGAGGGGGGGCGGAAGGGAGGGGGGACGCAAGGTGTCCGGATCAGCTCAGAGCCTCCAGCTCTCTCACCCTCGCCTCCAGCCATGCCGTGTGCTGCTCGCGCCTCTCGTCCACCTGGGGTGGGGATGGGCGGGAGGATGCAAGGGGAAAGGAGAGGGGAGAGACAGCAGTGTGGGTTGAGGGTCCAATCAGAGCCTCCAGCTCTCCCACCCTCGCCTCCAGCCATGCCGTGTGCTGCTCCCGCCTCTCGTCCACCTGGCAGGGGAAAGGGCACGGAGGAAGGGAGAGAGGAGAGGGGAGGAGAGAATCTGGAGTGTGCATCGACTCACGCACTGCTTGAGCACGACCCCACGCATTCCTCAACACCCTGTTCCTCCAATCCTTCCCTACCTGAGCAAACCGCTTCGCACCCACCTGTCCTTCGAGCTCCTCAACGCGGCGTTCAAGGTGCACGCACTGCTTCAGCACGGCCCCATGGGTGGCATGCATACCTCAACACCCTGTCCCTCCATTCCTTCCTTCCCTACCTGCACATACCACTCTGCACCCACCTGTCCTTCCAGCTCCTCAACGCGCCTCTCCAGGTGCACGCACTGCTTCAGCACAGCGCCATGGCATGGGTGGTACCCCTTCCCCAAAACCCTGCCCACCCATTCCTCCCTACCTGCACATACCACTCTGCACCCACCTGTCCTTCCAGCTCCTCAACGCGCCTCTCCAGGTGCACGCACTGCTTCAGCACAGCGCCATGGCATGGGTGGTACCCCTTCCCCAAAACCCCGCCCACCCATTCCTCCCTACCTGCACATACCACTCTGCACCCACCTGTCCTTCCAGCTCCTCAACGCGCCTCTCAAGGTGCACGCACTGCTTCAGCACAGCGCCATGGCATGGGTGGTACCCCTTCCCCAAAACCCCGCCCACCCATTCCTCCCTACCTGCACATACCACTCTGCACCCACCTGTCCTTCCAGCTCCTCAACGCGCCTCTCCAGGTGCACGCACTGCTTCAGCACAGCGCCATGGCATGGGTGGTACCCCTTCCCCAAAACCCCGCCCACCCATTCCTCCCTACCTGCACATACCACTCTGCACCCACCTGTCCTTCCAGCTCCTCAACGCGCCTCTCAAGGTGCACGCACTGCTTCAGCACAGCGCCATGGCATGGGTGGTACCCCTTCCCCAAAACCCCGCCCACCCATTCCTCCCTACCTGCACATACCACTCTGCACCCACCTGTCCTTCCAGCTCCTCAACGCGCCTCTCCAGGTGCACGCACTGCTTCAGCACAGCGCCATGGCATGGGTGGTACCCCTTCCCCAAAACCCCGCCCACCCATTCCTCCCTACCTGCACATACCACTCTGCACCCACCTGTCCTTCCAGCTCCTCAACGCGCCTCTCAAGGTGCACGCACTGCTTCAGCACAGCGCCATGGCATGGGTGGTACCCCTTCCCCAAAACCCCGCCCACCCATTCCTCCCTACCTGCACATACCACTCTGCACCCACCTGTCCTTCCAGCTCCTCAACGCGCCTCTCCAGGTGCACGCACTGCTTCAGCACAGCGCCATGGCATGGGTGGTACCCCTTCCCCAAAACCCCGCCCACCCATTCCTCCCTACCTGCACATACCACTCTGCACCCACCTGTCCTTCCAGCTCCTCAACGCGCCTCTCCAGGTGCACGCACTGCTTCAGCACAGCGCCATGGCATGGGTGGTACCCCTTCCCCAAAACCCCGCCCACCCATTCCTCCCTACCTGCACATACCACTCTGCACCCACCTGTCCTTCCAGCTCCTCAACGCGCCTCTCCAGGTGCACGCACTGCTTCAGCACAGCGCCATGGCATGGGTGGTACCCCTTCCCCAAAACCCCGCCCACCCATTCCTCCCTACCTGCACATACCACTCTGCACCCACCTGTCCTTCCAGCTCCTCAACGCGCCTCTCCAGGTGCACGCACTGCTTCAGCACAGCGCCATGGCATGGGTGGTACCCCTTCCCCAAAACCCTGCCCACCCATTCCTCCCTACCTGCACATACCACTCTGCACCCACCTGTCCTTCCAGCTCCTCAACGCGCCTCTCCAGGTGCACGCACTGCTTCAGCACAGCGCCATGGCATGGGTGGTACCCCTTCCCCAAAACCCCGCCCACCCATTCCTCCCTACCTGCACATACCACTCTGCACCCACCTGTCCTTCCAGCTCCTCAACGCGCCTCTCAAGGTGCACGCACTGCTTCAGCACAGCGCCATGGCATGGGTGGTACCCCTTCCCCAAAACCCCGCCCACCCATTCCTCCCTACCTGCACATACCACTCTGCACCCACCTGTCCTTCCAGCTCCTCAACGCGCCTCTCCAGGTGCACGCACTGCTTCAGCACAGCGCCATGGCATGGGTGGTACCCCTTCCCCAAAACCCCGCCCACCCATTCCTCCCTACCTGCACATACCACTCTGCACCCACCTGTCCTTCCAGCTCCTCAACGCGCCTCTCAAGGTGCACGCACTGCTTCAGCACAGCGCCATGGCATGGGTGGTACCCCTTCCCCAAAACCCCGCCCACCCATTCCTCCCTACCTGCACATACCACTCTGCACCCACCTGTCCTTCCAGCTCCTCAACGCGCCTCTCCAGGTGCACGCACTGCTTCAGCACAGCGCCATGGCATGGGTGGTACCCCTTCCCCAAAACCCCGCCCACCCATTCCTCCCTACCTGCACATACCACTCTGCACCCACCTGTCCTTCCAGCTCCTCAACGCGCCTCTCAAGGTGCACGCACTGCTTCAGCACAGCGCCATGGCATGGGTGGTACCCCTTCCCCAAAACCCCGCCCACCCATTCCTCCCTACCTGCACATACCACTCTGCACCCACCTGTCCTTCCAGCTCCTCAACGCGCCTCTCCAGGTGCACGCACTGCTTCAGCACAGCGCCATGGCATGGGTGGTACCCCTTCCCCAAAACCCCGCCCACCCATTCCTCCCTACCTGCACATACCACTCTGCACCCACCTGTCCTTCCAGCTCCTCAACGCGCCTCTCCAGGTGCACGCACTGCTTCAGCACAGCGCCATGGCATGGGTGGTACCCCTTCCCCAAAACCCCGCCCACCCATTCCTCCCTACCTGCACATACCACTCTCCACCCACCTGTCCTTCCAGCTCCTCAACGCGCCTCTCCAGGTGCACGCACTGCTTCAGCACAGCGCCATGGCATGGGTGGTACCCCTTCCCCAAAACCCCGCCCACCCATTCCTCCCTACCTGCACATACCACTCTGCACCCACCTGTCCTTCCAGCTCCTCAACGCGCCTCTCCAGGTGCACGCACTGCTTCAGCACAGCGCCATGGCATGGGTGGTACCCCTTCCCCAAAACCCCGCCCACCCATTCCTCCCTACCTGCACATACCACTCTGCACCCACCTGTCCTTCCAGCTCCTCAACGCGCCTCTCCAGGTGCACGCACTGCTTCAGCACAGCGCCATGGCATGGGTGGTACCCCTTCCCCAAAACCCCGCCCACCCATTCCTCCCTACCTGCACATACCACTCTGCACCCACCTGTCCTTCCAGCTCCTCAACGCGCCTCTCCAGGTGCACGCACTGCTTCAGCACAGCGCCATGGCATGGGTGGTACCCCTTCCCCAAAACCCCGCCCACCCATTCCTCCCTACCTGCACATACCACTCTGCACCCACCTGTCCTTCCAGCTCCTCAACGCGCCTCTCCAGGTGCACGCACTGCTTCAGCACAGCGCCATGGCATGGGTGGTACCCCTTCCCCAAAACCCCGCCCACCCATTCCTCCCTACCTGCACATACCACTCTGCACCCACCTGTCCTTCCAGCTCCTCAACGCGCCTCTCCAGGTGCACGCACTGCTTCAGCACAGCGCCATGGCATGGGTGGTACCCCTTCCCCAAAACCCCGCCCACCCATTCCTCCCTACCTGCACATACCACTCTGCACCCACCTGTCCTTCCAGCTCCTCAACGTGCCTCTCCAGGTGCACGCACTGCTTCAGCACAGCGCCATGGCATGGGTGGTACCCCTTCCTTAAAACCCCGCCCACCCATTCCTCCCTACCTGCACATACCACTCTGCACCCACCTGTCCTTCCAGCTCCTCAACGCGCCTCTCCAGGTGCACGCACTGCTTCAGCACAGCGCCATGGCATGGGTGGTACCCCTTCCCCAAAACCCCGCCCACCCATTCCTCCCTACCTGCACATACCACTCTGCACCCACCTGTCCTTCCAGCTCCTCAACGCGCCTCTCCAGGTGCACGCACTGCTTCAGCACAGCGCCATGGCATGGGTGGTACCCCTTCCCCAAAACCCCGCCCACCCATTCCTCCCTACCTGCACATACCACTCTGCACCCACCTGTCCTTCCAGCTCCTCAACGCGCCTCTCCAGGTGCACGCACTGCTTCAGCACAGCGCCATGGCATGGGTGGTACCCCTTCCCCAAAACCCCGCCCACCCATTCCTCCCTACCTGCACATACCACTCTGCACCCACCTGTCCTTCCAGCTCCTCAACGCGCCTCTCCAGGTGCACGCACTGCTTCAGCACAGCGCCATGGCATGGGTGGTACCCCTTCCCCAAAACCCCGCCCACCCATTCCTCCCTACCTGCACATACCACTCTGCACCCACCTGTCCTTCCAGCTCCTCAACGCGCCTCTCCAGGTGCACGCACTGCTTCAGCACAGCGCCATGGCATGGGTGGTACCCCTTCCCCAAAACCCCGCCCACCCATTCCTCCCTACCTGCACATACCACTCTGCACCCACCTGTCCTTCCAGCTCCTCAACGCGCCTCTCCAGGTGCACGCACTGCTTCAGCACAGCGCCATGGCATGGGTGGTACCCCTTCCCCAAAACCCCGCCCACCCATTCCTCCCTACCTGCACATACCACTCTGCACCCACCTGTCCTTCCAGCTCCTCAACGCGCCTCTCCAGGTGCACGCACTGCTTCAGCACAGCGCCATGGCATGGGTGGTACCCCTTCCCCAAAACCCCGCCCACCCATTCCTCCCTACCTGCACATACCACTCTGCACCCACCTGTCCTTCCAGCTCCTCAACGCGCCTCTCCAGGTGCACGCACTGCTTCAGCACAGCGCCATGGCATGGGTGGTACCCCTTCCCCAAAACCCCGCCCACCCATTCCTCCCTACCTGCACATACCACTCTGCACCCACCTGTCCTTCCAGCTCCTCAACGCGCCTCTCCAGGTGCACGCACTGCTTCAGCACAGCGCCATGGCATGGGTGGTACCCCTTCCCCAAAACCCCGCCCACCCATTCCTCCCTACCTGCACATACCACTCTGCACCCACCTGTCCTTCCAGCTCCTCAACGCGCCTCTCAAGGTGCACGCACTGCTTCAGCACAGCGCCATGGCATGGGTGGTACCCCTTCCCCAAAACCCCGCCCACCCATTCCTCCCTACCTGCACATACCACTCTGCACCCACCTGTCCTTCCAGCTCCTCAACGCGCCTCTCCAGGTGCACGCACTGCTTCAGCACAGCGCCATGGCATGGGTGGTACCCCTTCCCCAAAACCCCGCCCACCCATTCCTCCCTACCTGCACATACCACTCTGCACCCACCTGTCCTTCCAGCTCCTCAACGCGCCTCTCCAGGTGCACGCACTGCTTCAGCACAGCGCCATGGCATGGGTGGTACCCCTTCCCCAAAACCCCGCCCACCCATTCCTCCCTACCTGCACATACCACTCTGCACCCACCTGTCCTTCCAGCTCCTCAACGCGCCTCTCCAGGTGCACGCACTGCTTCAGCACAGCGCCATGGCATGGGTGGTACCCCTTCCCCAAAACCCCGCCCACCCATTCCTCCCTACCTGCACATACCACTCTGCACCCACCTGTCCTTCCAGCTCCTCAACGCGCCTCTCCAGGTGCACGCACTGCTTCAGCACAGCGCCATGGCATGGGTGGTACCCCTTCCCCAAAACCCCGCCCACCCATTCCTCCCTACCTGCACATACCACTCTGCACCCACCTGTCCTTCCAGCTCCTCAACGCGCCTCTCAAGGTGCACGCACTGCTTCAGCACAGCGCCATGGCATGGGTGGTACCCCTTCCCCAAAACCCCGCCCACCCATTCCTCCCTACCTGCACATACCACTCTGCACCCACCTGTCCTTCCAGCTCCTCAACGCGCCTCTCAAGGTGCACGCACTGCTTCAGCACAGCGCCATGGCATGGGTGGTACCCCTTCCCCAAAACCCCGCCCACCCATTCCTCCCTACCTGCACATACCACTCTGCACCCACCTGTCCTTCCAGCTCCTCAACGCGCCTCTCAAGGTGCACGCACTGCTTCAGCACAGCGCCATGGCATGGGTGGTACCCCTTCCCCAAAACCCCGCCCACCCATTCCTCCCTACCTGCACATACCACTCTGCACCCACCTGTCCTTCCAGCTCCTCAACGCGCCTCTCAAGGTGCACGCACTGCTTCAGCACAGCGCCATGGCATGGGTGGTACCCCTTCCCCAAAACCCCGCCCACCCATTCCTCCCTACCTGCACATACCACTCTGCACCCACCTGTCCTTCCAGCTCCTCAACGCGCCTCTCCAGGTGCACGCACTGCTTCAGCACAGCGCCATGGCATGGGTGGTACCCCTTCCCCAAAACCCCGCCCACCCATTCCTCCCTACCTGCACATACCACTCTGCACCCACCTGTCCTTCCAGCTCCTCAACGCGCCTCTCAAGGTGCACGCACTGCTTCAGCACAGCGCCATGGCATGGGTGGTACCCCTTCCCCAAAACCCCGCCCACCCATTCCTCCCTACCTGCACATACCACTCTGCACCCACCTGTCCTTCCAGCTCCTCAACGCGCCTCTCAAGGTGCACGCACTGCTTCAGCACAGCGCCATGGCATGGGTGGTACCCCTTCCCCAAAACCCCGCCCACCCATTCCTCCCTACCTGCACATACCACTCTGCACCCACCTGTCCTTCCAGCTCCTCAACGCGCCTCTCAAGGTGCACGCACTGCTTCAGCACAGCGCCATGGCATGGGTGGTACCCCTTCCCCAAAACCCCGCCCACCCATTCCTCCCTACCTGCACATACCACTCTGCACCCACCTGTCCTTCCAGCTCCTCAACGCGCCTCTCAAGGTGCACGCACTGCTTCAGCACAGCGCCATGGCATGGGTGGTACCCCTTCCCCAAAACCCCGCCCACCCATTCCTCCCTACCTGCACATACCACTCTGCACCCACCTGTCCTTCCAGCTCCTCAACGTGCCTCTCAAGGTGCACGCACTGCTTCAGCACAGCGCCATGGCATGGGTGGTACCCCTTCCCCAAAACCCCGCCCACCCATTCCTCCCTACCTGCACATACCACTCTGCACCCACCTGTCCTTCCAGCTCCTCAACGCGCCTCTCAAGGTGCACGCACTGCTTCAGCACAGCGCCATGGCATGGGTGGTACCCCTTCCCCAAAACCCCGCCCACCCATTCCTCCCTACCTGCACATACCACTCTGCACCCACCTGTCCTTCCAGCTCCTCAACGCGCCTCTCAAGGTGCACGCACTGCTTCAGCACAGCGCCATGGCATGGGTGGTACCCCTTCCCCAAAACCCCGCCCACCCATTCCTCCCTACCTGCACATACCACTCTGCACCCACCTGTCCTTCCAGCTCCTCAACGCGCCTCTCAAGGTGCACGCACTGCTTCAGCACAGCGCCATGGCATGGGTGGTACCCCTTCCCCAAAACCCCGCCCACCCATTCCTCCCTACCTGCACATACCACTCTGCACCCACCTGTCCTTCCAGCTCCTCAACGCGCCTCTCAAGGTGCACGCACTGCTTCAGCACAGCGCCATGGCATGGGTGGTACCCCTTCCCCAAAACCCCGCCCACCCATTCCTCCCTACCTGCACATACCACTCTGCACCCACCTGTCCTTCCAGCTCCTCAACGCGCCTCTCAAGGTGCACGCACTGCTTCAGCACAGCGCCATGGCATGGGTGGTACCCCTTCCCCAAAACCCCGCCCACCCATTCCTCCCTACCTGCACATACCACTCTGCACCCACCTGTCCTTCCAGCTCCTCAACGCGCCTCTCAAGGTGCACGCACTGCTTCAGCACAGCGCCATGGCATGGGTGGTACCCCTTCCCCAAAACCCCGCCCACCCATTCCTCCCTACCTGCACATACCACTCTGCACCCACCTGTCCTTCCAGCTCCTCAACGCGCCTCTCAAGGTGCACGCACTGCTTCAGCACAGCGCCATGGCATGGGTGGTACCCCTTCCCCAAAACCCCGCCCACCCATTCCTCCCTACCTGCACATACCACTCTGCACCCACCTGTCCTTCCAGCTCCTCAACGCGCCTCTCCAGGTGCACGCACTGCTTCAGCACAGCGCCATGGCATGGGTGGTACCCCTTCCCCAAAACCCCGCCCACCCATTCCTCCCTACCTGCACATACCACTCTGCACCCACCTGTCCTTCCAGCTCCTCAACGCGCCTCTCCAGGTGCACGCACTGCTTCAGCACAGCGCCATGGCATGGGTGGTACCCCTTCCCCAAAACCCCGCCCACCCATTCCTCCCTACCTGCACATACCACTCTGCACCCACCTGTCCTTCCAGCTCCTCAACGCGCCTCTCAAGGTGCACGCACTGCTTCAGCACAGCGCCATGGCATGGGTGGTACCCCTTCCCCAAAACCCCGCCCACCCATTCCTCCCTACCTGCACATACCACTCTGCACCCACCTGTCCTTCCAGCTCCTCAACGCGCCTCTCAAGGTGCACGCACTGCTTCAGCACAGCGCCATGGCATGGGTGGTACCCCTTCCCCAAAACCCCGCCCACCCATTCCTCCCTACCTGCACATACCACTCTGCACCCACCTGTCCTTCCAGCTCCTCAACGCGCCTCTGAAGGTGCACGCACTGCTTCAGCACAGCGCCATGGCATGGGTGGTACCCCTTCCCCAAAACCCCGCCCACCCATTCCTCCCTACCTGCACATACCACTCTGCACCCACCTGTCCTTCCAGCTCCTCAACGCGCCTCTCCAGGTGCACGCACTGCTTCAGCACAGCGCCATGGCATGGGTGGTACCCCTTCCCCAAAACCCCGCCCACCCATTCCTCCCTACCTGCACATACCACTCTGCACCCACCTGTCCTTCCAGCTCCTCAACGCGCCTCTCAAGGTGCACGCACTGCTTCAGCACAGCGCCATGGCATGGGTGGTACCCCTTCCCCAAAACCCCGCCCACCCATTCCTCCCTACCTGCACATACCACTCTGCACCCACCTGTCCTTCCAGCTCCTCAACGCGCCTCTCCAGGTGCACGCACTGCTTCAGCACAGCGCCATGGCATGGGTGGTACCCCTTCCCCAAAACCCCGCCCACCCATTCCTCCCTACCTGCACATACCACTCTGCACCCACCTGTCCTTCCAGCTCCTCAACGCGCCTCTCCAGGTGCACGCACTGCTTCAGCACAGCGCCATGGCATGGGTGGTACCCCTTCCCCAAAACCCCGCCCACCCATTCCTCCCTACCTGCACATACCACTCTGCACCCACCTGTCCTTCCAGCTCCTCAACGCGCCTCTCCAGGTGCACGCACTGCTTCAGCACAGCGCCATGGCATGGGTGGTACCCCTTCCCCAAAACCCCGCCCACCCATTCCTCCCTACCTGCACATACCACTCTGCACCCACCTGTCCTTCCAGCTCCTCAACGCGCCTCTCCAGGTGCACGCACTGCTTCAGCACAGCGCCATGGCATGGGTGGTACCCCTTCCCCAAAACCCCGCCCACCCATTCCTCCCTACCTGCACATACCACTCTGCACCCACCTGTCCTTCCAGCTCCTCAACGCGCCTCTCCAGGTGCACGCACTGCTTCAGCACAGCGCCATGGCATGGGTGGTACCCCTTCCCCAAAACCCCGCCCACCCATTCCTCCCTACCTGCACATACCACTCTGCACCCACCTGTCCTTCCAGCTCCTCAACGCGCCTCTCCAGGTGCACGCACTGCTTCAGCACAGCGCCATGGCATGGGTGGTACCCCTTCCCCAAAACCCCGCCCACCCATTCCTCCCTACCTGCACATACCACTCTGCACCCACCTGTCCTTCCAGCTCCTCAACGCGCCTCTCAAGGTGCACGCACTGCTTCAGCACAGCGCCATGGCATGGGTGGTACCCCTTCCCCAAAACCCCGCCCACCCATTCCTCCCTACCTGCACATACCACTCTGCACCCACCTGTCCTTCCAGCTCCTCAACGCGCCTCTCAAGGTGCACGCACTGCTTCAGCACAGCGCCATGGCATGGGTGGTACCCCTTCCCCAAAACCCCGCCCACCCATTCCTCCCTACCTGCACATACCACTCTGCACCCACCTGTCCTTCCAGCTCCTCAACGTGCCTCTCCAGGTGCACGCACTGCTTCAGCACAGCGCCATGGCATGGGTGGTACCCCTTCCCCAAAACCCCGCCCACCCATTCCTCCCTACCTGCACATACCACTCTGCACCCACCTGTCCTTCCAGCTCCTCAACGCGCCTCTCAAGGTGCACGCACTGCTTCAGCACAGCGCCATGGCATGGGTGGTACCCCTTCCCCAAAACCCCGCCCACCCATTCCTCCCTACCTGCACATACCACTCTGCACCCACCTGTCCTTCCAGCTCCTCAACGCGCCTCTCAAGGTGCACGCACTGCTTCAGCACAGCGCCATGGCATGGGTGGTACCCCTTCCCCAAAACCCCGCCCACCCATTCCTCCCTACCTGCACATACCACTCTGCACCCACCTGTCCTTCCAGCTCCTCAACGCGCCTCTCAAGGTGCACGCACTGCTTCAGCACAGCGCCATGGCATGGGTGGTACCCCTTCCCCAAAACCCCGCCCACCCATTCCTCCCTACCTGCACATACCACTCTGCACCCACCTGTCCTTCCAGCTCCTCAACGCGCCTCTCAAGGTGCACGCACTGCTTCAGCACAGCGCCATGGCATGGGTGGTACCCCTTCCCCAAAACCCCGCCCACCCATTCCTCCCTACCTGCACATACCACTCTGCACCCACCTGTCCTTCCAGCTCCTCAACGTGCCTCTCCAGGTGCACGCACTGCTTCAGCACAGCGCCATGGCATGGGTGGTACCCCTTCCCCAAAACCCCGCCCACCCATTCCTCCCTACCTGCACATACCACTCTGCACCCACCTGTCCTTCCAGCTCCTCAACGCGCCTCTCCAGGTGCACGCACTGCTTCAGCACAGCGCCATGGCATGGGTGGTACCCCTTCCCCAAAACCCCGCCCACCCATTCCTCCCTACCTGCACATACCACTCTGCACCCACCTGTCCTTCCAGCTCCTCAACGCGCCTCTCAAGGTGCACGCACTGCTTCAGCACAGCGCCATGGCATGGGTGGTACCCCTTCCCCAAAACCCCGCCCACCCATTCCTCCCTACCTGCACATACCACTCTGCACCCACCTGTCCTTCCAGCTCCTCAACGCGCCTCTCAAGGTGCACGCACTGCTTCAGCACAGCGCCATGGCATGGGTGGTACCCCTTCCCCAAAACCCCGCCCACCCATTCCTCCCTACCTGCACATACCACTCTGCACCCACCTGTCCTTCCAGCTCCTCAACGCGCCTCTCAAGGTGCACGCACTGCTTCAGCACAGCGCCATGGCATGGGTGGTACCCCTTCCCCAAAACCCCGCCCACCCATTCCTCCCTACCTGCACATACCACTCTGCACCCACCTGTCCTTCCAGCTCCTCAACGCGCCTCTCAAGGTGCACGCACTGCTTCAGCACAGCGCCATGGCATGGGTGGTACCCCTTCCCCAAAACCCCGCCCACCCATTCCTCCCTACCTGCACATACCACTCTGCACCCACCTGTCCTTCCAGCTCCTCAACGCGCCTCTCAAGGTGCACGCACTGCTTCAGCACAGCGCCATGGCATGGGTGGTACCCCTTCCCCAAAACCCCGCCCACCCATTCCTCCCTACCTGCACATACCACTCTGCACCCACCTGTCCTTCCAGCTCCTCAACGCGCCTCTCAAGGTGCACGCACTGCTTCAGCACAGCGCCATGGCATGGGTGGTACCCCTTCCCCAAAACCCCGCCCACCCATTCCTCCCTACCTGCACATACCACTCTGCACCCACCTGTCCTTCCAGCTCCTCAACGCGCCTCTCAAGGTGCACGCACTGCTTCAGCACAGCGCCATGGCATGGGTGGTACCCCTTCCCCAAAACCCCGCCCACCCATTCCTCCCTACCTGCACATACCACTCTGCACCCACCTGTCCTTCCAGCTCCTCAACGCGCCTCTCAAGGTGCACGCACTGCTTCAGCACAGCGCCATGGCATGGGTGGTACCCCTTCCCCAAAACCCCGCCCACCCATTCCTCCCTACCTGCACATACCACTCTGCACCCACCTGTCCTTCCAGCTCCTCAACGCGCCTCTCAAGGTGCACGCACTGCTTCAGCACAGCGCCATGGCATGGGTGGTACCCCTTCCCCAAAACCCCGCCCACCCATTCCTCCCTACCTGCACATACCATTCTGCACCCACCTGTCCTTCCAGCTCCTCAACGCGCCTCTCAAGGTGCACGCACTGCTTCAGCACAGCGCCATGGCATGGGTGGTACCCCTTCCCCAAAACCCCGCCCACCCATTCCTCCCTACCTGCACATACCACTCTGCACCCACCTGTCCTTCCAGCTCCTCAACGCGCCTCTCAAGGTGCACGCACTGCTTCAGCACAGCGCCATGGCATGGGTGGTACCCCTTCCCCAAAACCCCGCCCACCCATTCCTCCCTACCTGCACATACCACTCTGCACCCACCTGTCCTTCCAGCTCCTCAACGCGCCTCTCAAGGTGCACGCACTGCTTCAGCACAGCGCCATGGCATGGGTGGTACCCCTTCCCCAAAACCCCGCCCACCCATTCCTCCCTACCTGCACATACCACTCTGCACCCACCTGTCCTTCCAGCTCCTCAACGCGCCTCTCAAGGTGCACGCACTGCTTCAGCACAGCGCCATGGCATGGGTGGTACCCCTTCCCCAAAACCCCGCCCACCCATTCCTCCCTACCTGCACATACCACTCTGCACCCACCTGTCCTTCCAGCTCCTCAACGCGCCTCTCAAGGTGCACGCACTGCTTCAGCACAGCGCCATGGCATGGGTGGTACCCCTTCCCCAAAACCCCGCCCACCCATTCCTCCCTACCTGCACATACCACTCTGCACCCACCTGTCCTTCCAGCTCCTCAACGCGCCTCTCAAGGTGCACGCACTGCTTCAGCACAGCGCCATGGCATGGGTGGTACCCCTTCCCCAAAACCCCGCCCACCCATTCCTCCCTACCTGCACATACCACTCTGCACCCACCTGTCCTTCCAGCTCCTCAACGCGCCTCTCAAGGTGCACGCACTGCTTCAGCACAGCGCCATGGCATGGGTGGTACCCCTTCCCCAAAACCCCGCCCACCCATTCCTCCCTACCTGCACATACCACTCTGCACCCACCTGTCCTTCCAGCTCCTCAACGCGCCTCTCAAGGTGCACGCACTGCTTCAGCACAGCGCCATGGCATGGGTGGTACCCCTTCCCCAAAACCCCGCCCACCCATTCCTCCCTACCTGCACATACCACTCTGCACCCACCTGTCCTTCCAGCTCCTCAACGCGCCTCTCCAGGTGCACGCACTGCTTCAGCACAGCGCCATGGCATGGGTGGTACCCCTTCCCCAAAACCCCGCCCACCCATTCCTCCCTACCTGCACATACCACTCTGCACCCACCTGTCCTTCCAGCTCCTCAACGCGCCTCTCAAGGTGCACGCACTGCTTCAGCACAGCGCCATGGCATGGGTGGTACCCCTTCCCCAAAACCCCGCCCACCCATTCCTCCCTACCTGCACATACCACTCTGCACCCACCTGTCCTTCCAGCTCCTCAACGCGCCTCTCAAGGTGCACGCACTGCTTCAGCACAGCGCCATGGCATGGGTGGTACCCCTTCCCCAAAACCCCGCCCACCCATTCCTCCCTACCTGCACATACCACTCTGCACCCACCTGTCCTTCCAGCTCCTCAACGCGCCTCTCAAGGTGCACGCACTGCTTCAGCACAGCGCCATGGCATGGGTGGTACCCCTTCCCCAAAACCCCGCCCACCCATTCCTCCCTACCTGCACATACCACTCTGCACCCACCTGTCCTTCCAGCTCCTCAACGCGCCTCTCAAGGTGCACGCACTGCTTCAGCACAGCGCCATGGCATGGGTGGTACCCCTTCCCCAAAACCCCGCCCACCCATTCCTCCCTACCTGCACATACCACTCTGCACCCACCTGTCCTTCCAGCTCCTCAACGCGCCTCTCCAGGTGCACGCACTGCTTCAGCACAGCGCCATGGCATGGGTGGTACCCCTTCCCCAAAACCCCGCCCACCCATTCCTCCCTACCTGCACATACCACTCTGCACCCACCTGTCCTTCCAGCTCCTCAACGCGCCTCTCAAGGTGCACGCACTGCTTCAGCACAGCGCCATGGCATGGGTGGTACCCCTTCCCCAAAACCCCGCCCACCCATTCCTCCCTACCTGCACATACCACTCTGCACCCACCTGTCCTTCCAGCTCCTCAACGCGCCTCTCAAGGTGCACGCACTGCTTCAGCACAGCGCCATGGCATGGGTGGTACCCCTTCCCCAAAACCCCGCCCACCCATTCCTCCCTACCTGCACATACCACTCTGCACCCACCTGTCCTTCCAGCTCCTCAACGCGCCTCTCAAGGTGCACGCACTGCTTCAGCACAGCGCCATGGCATGGGTGGTACCCCTTCCCCAAAACCCCGCCCACCCATTCCTCCCTACCTGCACATACCACTCTGCACCCACCTGTCCTTCCAGCTCCTCAACGCGCCTCTCCAGGTGCACGCACTGCTTCAGCACAGCGCCATGGCATGGGTGGTACCCCTTCCCCAAAACCCCGCCCACCCATTCCTCCCTACCTGCACATACCACTCTGCACCCACCTGTCCTTCCAGCTCCTCAACGCGCCTCTCAAGGTGCACGCACTGCTTCAGCACAGCGCCATGGCATGGGTGGTACCCCTTCCCCAAAACCCCGCCCACCCATTCCTCCCTACCTGCACATACCACTCTGCACCCACCTGTCCTTCCAGCTCCTCAACGCGCCTCTCCAGGTGCACGCACTGCTTCAGCACAGCGCCATGGCATGGGTGGTACCCCTTCCCCAAAACCCCGCCCACCCATTCCTCCCTACCTGCACATACCACTCTGCACCCACCTGTCCTTCCAGCTCCTCAACGCGCCTCTCCAGGTGCACGCACTGCTTCAGCACAGCGCCATGGCATGGGTGGTACCCCTTCCCCAAAACCCCGCCCACCCATTCCTCCCTACCTGCACATACCACTCTGCACCCACCTGTCCTTCCAGCTCCTCAACGCGCCTCTCAAGGTGCACGCACTGCTTCAGCACAGCGCCATGGCATGGGTGGTACCCCTTCCCCAAAACCCCGCCCACCCATTCCTCCCTACCTGCACATACCACTCTGCACCCACCTGTCCTTCCAGCTCCTCAACGCGCCTCTCAAGGTGCACGCACTGCTTCAGCACAGCGCCATGGCATGGGTGGTACCCCTTCCCCAAAACCCCGCCCACCCATTCCTCCCTACCTGCACATACCACTCTGCACCCACCTGTCCTTCCAGCTCCTCAACGCGCCTCTCCAGGTGCACGCACTGCTTCAGCACAGCGCCATGGCATGGGTGGTACCCCTTCCCCAAAACCCCGCCCACCCATTCCTCCCTACCTGCACATACCACTCTGCACCCACCTGTCCTTCCAGCTCCTCAACGCGCCTCTCCAGGTGCACGCACTGCTTCAGCACAGCGCCATGGCATGGGTGGTACCCCTTCCCCAAAACCCCGCCCACCCATTCCTCCCTACCTGCACATACCACTCTGCACCCACCTGTCCTTCCAGCTCCTCAACGCGCCTCTCAAGGTGCACGCACTGCTTCAGCACAGCGCCATGGCATGGGTGGTACCCCTTCCCCAAAACCCCGCCCACCCATTCCTCCCTACCTGCACATACCACTCTGCACCCACCTGTCCTTCCAGCTCCTCAACGCGCCTCTCCAGGTGCACGCACTGCTTCAGCACAGCGCCATGGCATGGGTGGTACCCCTTCCCCAAAACCCCGCCCACCCATTCCTCCCTACCTGCACATACCACTCTGCACCCACCTGTCCTTCCAGCTCCTCAACGCGCCTCTCCAGGTGCACGCACTGCTTCAGCACAGCGCCATGGCATGGGTGGTACCCCTTCCCCAAAACCCCGCCCACCCATTCCTCCCTACCTGCACATACCACTCTGCACCCACCTGTCCTTCCAGCTCCTCAACGCGCCTCTCAAGGTGCACGCACTGCTTCAGCACAGCGCCATGGCATGGGTGGTACCCCTTCCCCAAAACCCCGCCCACCCATTCCTCCCTACCTGCACATACCACTCTGCACCCACCTGTCCTTCCAGCTCCTCAACGCGCCTCTCAAGGTGCACGCACTGCTTCAGCACAGCGCCATGGCATGGGTGGTACCCCTTCCCCAAAACCCCGCCCACCCATTCCTCCCTACCTGCACATACCACTCTGCACCCACCTGTCCTTCCAGCTCCTCAACGCGCCTCTCCAGGTGCACGCACTGCTTCAGCACAGCGCCATGGCATGGGTGGTACCCCTTCCCCAAAACCCCGCCCACCCATTCCTCCCTACCTGCACATACCACTCTGCACCCACCTGTCCTTCCAGCTCCTCAACGCGCCTCTCCAGGTGCACGCACTGCTTCAGCACAGCGCCATGGCATGGGTGGTACCCCTTCCCCAAAACCCCGCCCACCCATTCCTCCCTACCTGCACATACCACTCTGCACCCACCTGTCCTTCCAGCTCCTCAACGCGCCTCTCCAGGTGCACGCACTGCTTCAGCACAGCGCCATGGCATGGGTGGTACCCCTTCCCCAAAACCCCGCCCACCCATTCCTCCCTACCTGCACATACCACTCTGCACCCACCTGTCCTTCCAGCTCCTCAACGCGCCTCTCAAGGTGCACGCACTGCTTCAGCACAGCGCCATGGCATGGGTGGTACCCCTTCCCCAAAACCCCGCCCACCCATTCCTCCCTACCTGCACATACCACTCTGCACCCACCTGTCCTTCCAGCTCCTCAACGCGCCTCTCAAGGTGCACGCACTGCTTCAGCACAGCGCCATGGCATGGGTGGTACCCCTTCCCCAAAACCCCGCCCACCCATTCCTCCCTACCTGCACATACCACTCTGCACCCACCTGTCCTTCCAGCTCCTCAACGCGCCTCTCCAGGTGCACGCACTGCTTCAGCACAGCGCCATGGCATGGGTGGTACCCCTTCCCCAAAACCCCGCCCACCCATTCCTCCCTACCTGCACATACCACTCTGCACCCACCTGTCCTTCCAGCTCCTCAACGCGCCTCTCAAGGTGCACGCACTGCTTCAGCACAGCGCCATGGCATGGGTGGTACCCCTTCCCCAAAACCCCGCCCACCCATTCCTCCCTACCTGCACATACCACTCTGCACCCACCTGTCCTTCCAGCTCCTCAACGCGCCTCTCAAGGTGCACGCACTGCTTCAGCACAGCGCCATGGCATGGGTGGTACCCCTTCCCCAAAACCCCGCCCACCCATTCCTCCCTACCTGCACATACCACTCTGCACCCACCTGTCCTTCCAGCTCCTCAACGCGCCTCTCCAGGTGCACGCACTGCTTCAGCACAGCGCCATGGCATGGGTGGTACCCCTTCCCCAAAACCCCGCCCACCCATTCCTCCCTACCTGCACATACCACTCTGCACCCACCTGTCCTTCCAGCTCCTCAACGCGCCTCTCCAGGTGCACGCACTGCTTCAGCACAGCGCCATGGCATGGGTGGTACCCCTTCCCCAAAACCCCGCCCACCCATTCCTCCCTACCTGCACATACCACTCTGCACCCACCTGTCCTTCCAGCTCCTCAACGCGCCTCTCCAGGTGCACGCACTGCTTCAGCACAGCGCCATGGCATGGGTGGTACCCCTTCCCCAAAACCCCGCCCACCCATTCCTCCCTACCTGCACATACCACTCTGCACCCACCTGTCCTTCCAGCTCCTCAACGCGCCTCTCAAGGTGCACGCACTGCTTCAGCACAGCGCCATGGCATGGGTGGTACCCCTTCCCCAAAACCCCGCCCACCCATTCCTCCCTACCTGCACATACCACTCTGCACCCACCTGTCCTTCCAGCTCCTCAACGCGCCTCTCAAGGTGCACGCACTGCTTCAGCACAGCGCCATGGCATGGGTGGTACCCCTTCCCCAAAACCCCGCCCACCCATTCCTCCCTACCTGCACATACCACTCTGCACCCACCTGTCCTTCCAGCTCCTCAACGCGCCTCTCAAGGTGCACGCACTGCTTCAGCACAGCGCCATGGCATGGGTGGTACCCCTTCCCCAAAACCCCGCCCACCCATTCCTCCCTACCTGCACATACCACTCTGCACCCACCTGTCCTTCCAGCTCCTCAACGCGCCTCTCCAGGTGCACGCACTGCTTCAGCACAGCGCCATGGCATGGGTGGTACCCCTTCCCCAAAACCCCGCCCACCCATTCCTCCCTACCTGCACATACCACTCTGCACCCACCTGTCCTTCCAGCTCCTCAACGCGCCTCTCCAGGTGCACGCACTGCTTCAGCACAGCGCCATGGCATGGGTGGTACCCCTTCCCCAAAACCCCGCCCACCCATTCCTCCCTACCTGCACATACCACTCTGCACCCACCTGTCCTTCCAGCTCCTCAACGCGCCTCTCCAGGTGCACGCACTGCTTCAGCACAGCGCCATGGCATGGGTGGTACCCCTTCCCCAAAACCCCGCCCACCCATTCCTCCCTACCTGCACATACCACTCTGCACCCACCTGTCCTTCCAGCTCCTCAACGCGCCTCTCAAGGTGCACGCACTGCTTCAGCACAGCGCCATGGCATGGGTGGTACCCCTTCCCCAAAACCCCGCCCACCCATTCCTCCCTACCTGCACATACCACTCTGCACCCACCTGTCCTTCCAGCTCCTCAACGCGCCTCTCCAGGTGCACGCACTGCTTCAGCACAGCGCCATGGCATGGGTGGTACCCCTTCCCCAAAACCCCGCCCACCCATTCCTCCCTACCTGCACATACCACTCTGCACCCACCTGTCCTTCCAGCTCCTCAACGCGCCTCTCAAGGTGCACGCACTGCTTCAGCACAGCGCCATGGCATGGGTGGTACCCCTTCCCCAAAACCCCGCCCACCCATTCCTCCCTACCTGCACATACCACTCTGCACCCACCTGTCCTTCCAGCTCCTCAACGCGCCTCTCAAGGTGCACGCACTGCTTCAGCACAGCGCCATGGCATGGGTGGTACCCCTTCCCCAAAACCCCGCCCACCCATTCCTCCCTACCTGCACATACCACTCTGCACCCACCTGTCCTTCCAGCTCCTCAACGCGCCTCTCAAGGTGCACGCACTGCTTCAGCACAGCGCCATGGCATGGGTGGTACCCCTTCCCCAAAACCCCGCCCACCCATTCCTCCCTACCTGCACATACCACTCTGCACCCACCTGTCCTTCCAGCTCCTCAACGCGCCTCTCAAGGTGCACGCACTGCTTCAGCACAGCGCCATGGCATGGGTGGTACCCCTTCCCCAAAACCCCGCCCACCCATTCCTCCCTACCTGCACATACCACTCTGCACCCACCTGTCCTTCCAGCTCCTCAACGCGCCTCTCAAGGTGCACGCACTGCTTCAGCACAGCGCCATGGCATGGGTGGTACCCCTTCCCCAAAACCCCGCCCACCCATTCCTCCCTACCTGCACATACCACTCTGCACCCACCTGTCCTTCCAGCTCCTCAACGCGCCTCTCCAGGTGCACGCACTGCTTCAGCACAGCGCCATGGCATGGGTGGTACCCCTTCCCCAAAACCCCGCCCACCCATTCCTCCCTACCTGCACATACCACTCTGCACCCACCTGTCCTTCCAGCTCCTCAACGCGCCTCTCAAGGTGCACGCACTGCTTCAGCACAGCGCCATGGCATGGGTGGTACCCCTTCCCCAAAACCCCGCCCACCCATTCCTCCCTACCTGCACATACCACTCTGCACCCACCTGTCCTTCCAGCTCCTCAACGCGCCTCTCAAGGTGCACGCACTGCTTCAGCACAGCGCCATGGCATGGGTGGTACCCCTTCCCCAAAACCCCGCCCACCCATTCCTCCCTACCTGCACATACCACTCTGCACCCACCTGTCCTTCCAGCTCCTCAACGCGCCTCTCAAGGTGCACGCACTGCTTCAGCACAGCGCCATGGCATGGGTGGTACCCCTTCCCCAAAACCCCGCCCACCCATTCCTCCCTACCTGCACATACCACTCTGCACCCACCTGTCCTTCCAGCTCCTCAACGCGCCTCTCAAGGTGCACGCACTGCTTCAGCACAGCGCCATGGCATGGGTGGTACCCCTTCCCCAAAACCCCGCCCACCCATTCCTCCCTACCTGCACATACCACTCTGCACCCACCTGTCCTTCCAGCTCCTCAACGCGCCTCTCAAGGTGCACGCACTGCTTCAGCACAGCGCCATGGCATGGGTGGTACCCCTTCCCCAAAACCCCGCCCACCCATTCCTCCCTACCTGCACATACCACTCTGCACCCACCTGTCCTTCCAGCTCCTCAACGCGCCTCTCAAGGTGCACGCACTGCTTCAGCACAGCGCCATGGCATGGGTGGTACCCCTTCCCCAAAACCCCGCCCACCCATTCCTCCCTACCTGCACATACCACTCTGCACCCACCTGTCCTTCCAGCTCCTCAACGCGCCTCTCAAGGTGCACGCACTGCTTCAGCACAGCGCCATGGCATGGGTGGTACCCCTTCCCCAAAACCCCGCCCACCCATTCCTCCCTACCTGCACATACCACTCTGCACCCACCTGTCCTTCCAGCTCCTCAACGCGCCTCTCAAGGTGCACGCACTGCTTCAGCACAGCGCCATGGCATGGGTGGTACCCCTTCCCCAAAACCCCGCCCACCCATTCCTCCCTACCTGCACATACCACTCTGCACCCACCTGTCCTTCCAGCTCCTCAACGCGCCTCTCAAGGTGCACGCACTGCTTCAGCACAGCGCCATGGCATGGGTGGTACCCCTTCCCCAAAACCCCGCCCACCCATTCCTCCCTACCTGCACATACCACTCTGCACCCACCTGTCCTTCCAGCTCCTCAACGCGCCTCTCAAGGTGCACGCACTGCTTCAGCACAGCGCCATGGCATGGGTGGTACCCCTTCCCCAAAACCCCGCCCACCCATTCCTCCCTACCTGCACATACCACTCTGCACCCACCTGTCCTTCCAGCTCCTCAACGCGCCTCTCAAGGTGCACGCACTGCTTCAGCACAGCGCCATGGCATGGGTGGTACCCCTTCCCCAAAACCCCGCCCACCCATTCCTCCCTACCTGCACATACCACTCTGCACCCACCTGTCCTTCCAGCTCCTCAACGCGCCTCTCAAGGTGCACGCACTGCTTCAGCACAGCGCCATGGCATGGGTGGTACCCCTTCCCCAAAACCCCGCCCACCCATTCCTCCCTACCTGCACATACCACTCTGCACCCACCTGTCCTTCCAGCTCCTCAACGCGCCTCTCAAGGTGCACGCACTGCTTCAGCACAGCGCCATGGCATGGGTGGTACCCCTTCCCCAAAACCCCGCCCACCCATTCCTCCCTACCTGCACATACCACTCTGCACCCACCTGTCCTTCCAGCTCCTCAACGCGCCTCTCAAGGTGCACGCACTGCTTCAGCACAGCGCCATGGCATGGGTGGTACCCCTTCCCCAAAACCCCGCCCACCCATTCCTCCCTACCTGCACATACCACTCTGCACCCACCTGTCCTTCCAGCTCCTCAACGCGCCTCTCAAGGTGCACGCACTGCTTCAGCACAGCGCCATGGCATGGGTGGTACCCCTTCCCCAAAACCCCGCCCACCCATTCCTCCCTACCTGCACATACCACTCTGCACCCACCTGTCCTTCCAGCTCCTCAACGCGCCTCTCAAGGTGCACGCACTGCTTCAGCACAGCGCCATGGCATGGGTGGTACCCCTTCCCCAAAACCCCGCCCACCCATTCCTCCCTACCTGCACATACCACTCTGCACCCACCTGTCCTTCCAGCTCCTCAACGCGCCTCTCAAGGTGCACGCACTGCTTCAGCACAGCGCCATGGCATGGGTGGTACCCCTTCCCCAAAACCCCGCCCACCCATTCCTCCCTACCTGCACATACCACTCTGCACCCACCTGTCCTTCCAGCTCCTCAACGCGCCTCTCAAGGTGCACGCACTGCTTCAGCACAGCGCCATGGCATGGGTGGTACCCCTTCCCCAAAACCCCGCCCACCCATTCCTCCCTACCTGCACATACCACTCTGCACCCACCTGTCCTTCCAGCTCCTCAACGCGCCTCTCAAGGTGCACGCACTGCTTCAGCACAGCGCCATGGCATGGGTGGTACCCCTTCCCCAAAACCCCGCCCACCCATTCCTCCCTACCTGCACATACCACTCTGCACCCACCTGTCCTTCCAGCTCCTCAACGCGCCTCTCAAGGTGCACGCACTGCTTCAGCACAGCGCCATGGCATGGGTGGTACCCCTTCCCCAAAACCCCGCCCACCCATTCCTCCCTACCTGCACATACCACTCTGCACCCACCTGTCCTTCCAGCTCCTCAACGCGCCTCTCAAGGTGCACGCACTGCTTCAGCACAGCGCCATGGCATGGGTGGTACCCCTTCCCCAAAACCCCGCCCACCCATTCCTCCCTACCTGCACATACCACTCTGCACCCACCTGTCCTTCCAGCTCCTCAACGCGCCTCTCAAGGTGCACGCACTGCTTCAGCACAGCGCCATGGCATGGGTGGTACCCCTTCCCCAAAACCCCGCCCACCCATTCCTCCCTACCTGCACATACCACTCTGCACCCACCTGTCCTTCCAGCTCCTCAACGCGCCTCTCAAGGTGCACGCACTGCTTCAGCACAGCGCCATGGCATGGGTGGTACCCCTTCCCCAAAACCCCGCCCACCCATTCCTCCCTACCTGCACATACCACTCTGCACCCACCTGTCCTTCCAGCTCCTCAACGCGCCTCTCAAGGTGCACGCACTGCTTCAGCACAGCGCCATGGCATGGGTGGTACCCCTTCCCCAAAACCCCGCCCACCCATTCCTCCCTACCTGCACATACCACTCTGCACCCACCTGTCCTTCCAGCTCCTCAACGCGCCTCTCAAGGTGCACGCACTGCTTCAGCACAGCGCCATGGCATGGGTGGTACCCCTTCCCCAAAACCCCGCCCACCCATTCCTCCCTACCTGCACATACCACTCTGCACCCACCTGTCCTTCCAGCTCCTCAACGCGCCTCTCAAGGTGCACGCACTGCTTCAGCACAGCGCCATGGCATGGGTGGTACCCCTTCCCCAAAACCCCGCCCACCCATTCCTCCCTACCTGCACATACCACTCTGCACCCACCTGTCCTTCCAGCTCCTCAACGCGCCTCTCAAGGTGCACGCACTGCTTCAGCACAGCGCCATGGCATGGGTGGTACCCCTTCCCCAAAACCCCGCCCACCCATTCCTCCCTACCTGCACATACCACTCTGCACCCACCTGTCCTTCCAGCTCCTCAACGCGCCTCTCAAGGTGCACGCACTGCTTCAGCACAGCGCCATGGCATGGGTGGTACCCCTTCCCCAAAACCCCGCCCACCCATTCCTCCCTACCTGCACATACCACTCTGCACCCACCTGTCCTTCCAGCTCCTCAACGCGCCTCTCAAGGTGCACGCACTGCTTCAGCACAGCGCCATGGCATGGGTGGTACCCCTTCCCCAAAACCCCGCCCACCCATTCCTCCCTACCTGCACATACCACTCTGCACCCACCTGTCCTTCCAGCTCCTCAACGCGCCTCTCAAGGTGCACGCACTGCTTCAGCACAGCGCCATGGCATGGGTGGTACCCCTTCCCCAAAACCCCGCCCACCCATTCCTCCCTACCTGCACATACCACTCTGCACCCACCTGTCCTTCCAGCTCCTCAACGCGCCTCTCAAGGTGCACGCACTGCTTCAGCACAGCGCCATGGCATGGGTGGTACCCCTTCCCCAAAACCCCGCCCACCCATTCCTCCCTACCTGCACATACCACTCTGCACCCACCTGTCCTTCCAGCTCCTCAACGCGCCTCTCAAGGTGCACGCACTGCTTCAGCACAGCGCCATGGCATGGGTGGTACCCCTTCCCCAAAACCCCGCCCACCCATTCCTCCCTACCTGCACATACCACTCTGCACCCACCTGTCCTTCCAGCTCCTCAACGCGCCTCTCAAGGTGCACGCACTGCTTCAGCACAGCGCCATGGCATGGGTGGTACCCCTTCCCCAAAACCCCGCCCACCCATTCCTCCCTACCTGCACATACCACTCTGCACCCACCTGTCCTTCCAGCTCCTCAACGCGCCTCTCAAGGTGCACGCACTGCTTCAGCACAGCGCCATGGCATGGGTGGTACCCCTTCCCCAAAACCCCGCCCACCCATTCCTCCCTACCTGCACATACCACTCTGCACCCACCTGTCCTTCCAGCTCCTCAACGCGCCTCTCAAGGTGCACGCACTGCTTCAGCACAGCGCCATGGCATGGGTGGTACCCCTTCCCCAAAACCCCGCCCACCCATTCCTCCCTACCTGCACATACCACTCTGCACCCACCTGTCCTTCCAGCTCCTCAACGCGCCTCTCAAGGTGCACGCACTGCTTCAGCACAGCGCCATGGCATGGGTGGTACCCCTTCCCCAAAACCCCGCCCACCCATTCCTCCCTACCTGCACATACCACTCTGCACCCACCTGTCCTTCCAGCTCCTCAACGCGCCTCTCAAGGTGCACGCACTGCTTCAGCACAGCGCCATGGCATGGGTGGTACCCCTTCCCCAAAACCCCGCCCACCCATTCCTCCCTACCTGCACATACCACTCTGCACCCACCTGTCCTTCCAGCTCCTCAACGCGCCTCTCAAGGTGCACGCACTGCTTCAGCACAGCGCCATGGCATGGGTGGTACCCCTTCCCCAAAACCCCGCCCACCCATTCCTCCCTACCTGCACATACCACTCTGCACCCACCTGTCCTTCCAGCTCCTCAACGCGCCTCTCAAGGTGCACGCACTGCTTCAGCACAGCGCCATGGCATGGGTGGTACCCCTTCCCCAAAACCCCGCCCACCCATTCCTCCCTACCTGCACATACCACTCTGCACCCACCTGTCCTTCCAGCTCCTCAACGCGCCTCTCAAGGTGCACGCACTGCTTCAGCACAGCGCCATGGCATGGGTGGTACCCCTTCCCCAAAACCCCGCCCACCCATTCCTCCCTACCTGCACATACCACTCTGCACCCACCTGTCCTTCCAGCTCCTCAACGCGCCTCTCAAGGTGCACGCACTGCTTCAGCACAGCGCCATGGCATGGGTGGTACCCCTTCCCCAAAACCCCGCCCACCCATTCCTCCCTACCTGCACATACCACTCTGCACCCACCTGTCCTTCCAGCTCCTCAACGCGCCTCTCAAGGTGCACGCACTGCTTCAGCACAGCGCCATGGCATGGGTGGTACCCCTTCCCCAAAACCCCGCCCACCCATTCCTCCCTACCTGCACATACCACTCTGCACCCACCTGTCCTTCCAGCTCCTCAACGCGCCTCTCAAGGTGCACGCACTGCTTCAGCACAGCGCCATGGCATGGGTGGTACCCCTTCCCCAAAACCCCGCCCACCCATTCCTCCCTACCTGCACATACCACTCTGCACCCACCTGTCCTTCCAGCTCCTCAACGCGCCTCTCAAGGTGCACGCACTGCTTCAGCACAGCGCCATGGCATGGGTGGTACCCCTTCCCCAAAACCCCGCCCACCCATTCCTCCCTACCTGCACATACCACTCTGCACCCACCTGTCCTTCCAGCTCCTCAACGCGCCTCTCAAGGTGCACGCACTGCTTCAGCACAGCGCCATGGCATGGGTGGTACCCCTTCCCCAAAACCCCGCCCACCCATTCCTCCCTACCTGCACATACCACTCTGCACCCACCTGTCCTTCCAGCTCCTCAACGCGCCTCTCCAGGTGCACGCACTGCTTCAGCACGGCGCCATGCGTGGCATGCAGCTGCTCCAGCCGCTCCATCACCCCCTCCACACTCTCCGCTCCCTTCCCCACCTCTGCTGTCGCCGCTGCCACTGCCGCTGCGGCTGCTGCTGTTGTTGCTGCTGTCACTGCTGGTAACCCGGCCGTTATGCCACTGGCCGTACTGGTAGGTTTGCCGCTTGACGCGTTGCTTGTGACACCACCACTGCTGGTCACGCCGCCGCTGCTTGTTACACCAGTGCTTGGCACACCTGTGGTCACACCGGCTACACCCGGCACACCTGTGGTGACTCCAACAGACCCTGCCACACCAGACACGCTCACTCTCTCTGTTGCCCTGCCTGCCTGTGCACCACCAAGCACACCACCTGACGCGCCCTGCTGCGACTGAAGCGGGTCAAAGGGCACCATCACGCCAGGAGAATTCAACAGAGTAGGTGGATTCAACAGAGCGCGCTGGTTCACAGCACTGACAGCCGCTCCTGAAACAGCAGCACCCCCTGTAGCAGAACCGGCTACTACAGTACCTACAGTACCTGCACCACACGCTACAGCAGTAACCGCACTACCTGTTACATCAGTAACTGCACTAACTGTTACAGCAGTAACCGCACTACCCGCTACAGCAGTAACCGCACTACCTGTTACAGCAGCAGCAGGCATGGTACAGTTAGGTGGAATACTGGCTGTCACAGCACGGTTGGGCATGGCAGCAGCAGAAGCAACAGCACCTGCGACACTGCCGCCTGCACTACCATGAGCATGATTCATGCCGCTATCCGTCCCTGTGTGAACCAGCCCATGCTTCTCCTCGCCCTCTCCCCCTCCTGCCACCCCTCCTGCCACCCCTCCTGCCACCCCTCCTGCCGCCCCTCCTGCCGCCCCTCCTGCCGCCCCTCCTGCCATCCCTGCCACCCCTGCTCTCGCAACTCCCACTGCCCCTCCTGCCCCCAGTCCGCCCCCTGTCCCCCCCATCTCTTCCCCATTACCAGCATCCCCACGCCTCCTCTGTGCCACCACCAACCGCCTCCTCCTCCCTCTCACCCCCCCCACCTCACTCCCCCCTACCCCAGCCACTCCACCTCCCGTTCCTACCCCCACACCTGCCGAACCTGGCTGCACGAGCAGGTCCGGGAACACGGTGTGTGGAGCTGAAGTCCCCGAACCTGGCCAGGTGGCTTGGGAGGTAACCGAGGTTTGGGCCAAGGCAGGAGGGGGAGGTTGCGGGTGGGTGTAAGGTGGGGGGTGGGCGTGGGGGTAAGCAGGGGAGGAGAAGGAGAAGGGTGCGGATGCTGACATGGGAGCTGTGGTAACGCTTGTCATGCTCCCTGCTGTTGCACCCCTTGCACCACTTGCACCATTCGCACCACTTGCACCATTCGCACCACTTGCACCATTCGCACCACTTGCACCATTCGCACCACTTGCACCATTTGCACCAATTGCACCACTCACACCATTTTCTGCCCCAGCACCATCTGCTAGAGCAGCCCCAGAAGCAGCGGCAGCAGAAGCAGAGGCAGTGGCGAGTCCAGCAGTTGCAGCTGCCACCGCTGCTCCTGCTGCAACAGGCAGGGAGGGCAGACCACCAGCAGCAGCAGCAGCAGCTGTAGCAGAGGCAGGGGCGTTGCTGCAAGCAATGATGCTTCCCAGCACCTTCTGCTTTGACTTGCCGGAGGGATTGAGTGCGGGTGCAGAGGGGACGGGAGGGGAAGAGGAGGGAGACGCCAGAGGCACGGGAGCAGCAGGCGTGGTAGCAATGCTGCTGGTGGTGCTGCTGCTGCTGGTAGTGGTGGTGGTGTTGCTGGTGGCAGTGACGTTGGAGGCAGCCCAAGCAGCAGCAGTAGAATCAACGGAGGCAGTGGTGGCAGCAACAGCAGGGGTGGGGGCGGTGCTGGTGGGGGCGGTGCTGGTGGGGGCGGTGCTGGTGGGGGCGGTGGGGGCGGTGGCGGTGGCGGTGGCGGGGGCGGTGCTGGTGGGAGGAATGTTTGTGGCGGCGGAGGTGGAGGAGGAGTAGAGGCGGACAGCAGGGGAGGGCAGGAAGCCAGGAAGAGAGAGGGGGAACATGGAGGCCGGAGATGCTGAGGCGGGAGCAGCGGGAGCAGCGGGAGCGGCGGAGGAAGAAGGAGAAGGTGCAGTGGTAGGAGGGTTGGACTGGACAGGTGTGATTGTTGTAGCAACCTGCCGCTGCTGCTGCTGCTGCTGCTGCTGCTGCTGCTGCTGTTGCTGCTGCTGCTGCTGCTTGTGTCCCTCGTTTGAGTCACATCCAAACTCGTCCCTAAGCACATCCCTACTCGTGCTGATATTGCTGCTGTTGCTGCTGCTGCTGCTGCTGCTGCTGCTGCTGCTGCTGCTGCTGCTGCTGCTGCTGCTGCTGCTGCTGCTGCTGCTGCTGCTGCTGCTGCTGCTGCTGCTGCTGCTGCTGCTGCTGCTGCTGCTGCTGCTGCTGCTGCTGCTGCTGCTGCTGCTGCTGCTGCTGCTGCTGCTGCTGCTGCTGCTGCTGCTGCTGCTGCTGCTGCTGCTGCTGCTGCTGCTGCTGCTGCTGCTGCTGCTGCTGCTGCTGCTGCTGCTGCTGCTGCTGCTGCTGCTGCTGCTGCTGCTGCTGCTGCTGCTGCTGCTGCTGCTGCTGCTGCTGCTGCTGCTGCTGCTGCTGCTGCTGCTGCTGCTGCTGCTGCTGCTGCTGCTGCTGCTGCTGCTGCTGCTGCTGCTGCTGCTGCTGCTGCTGCTGCTGCTGCTGCTGCTGCTGCTGCTGCTGCTGCTGCTGCTGCTGCTGCTGCTGCTGCTGCTGCTGCTGCTGCTGCTGCTGCCGTTGCTGCTGCTACTTGTGGTGTTGCTGTTGCTGTTGCTGTTGCTGTTGCTGTTGCTGTTGCTGCTGTAGCTGCTACTCATGCTGCTGCCGCCAGTGCTGCTATCCCCTCTGAGGCAAGACTGACCCTCATACCCTGCCTTCTCCTCTCTACTTCTCCCGTCTTCCCCTCCTGAAACTTCACGCTCTCTCTCTCCCTCACCTCCCTCCACCTGCGACTCATCGTCCCCATGTGCCTCCCCATCTGCAGCACCAGCAGTCGCAGCAGCAGAACGATCAGTAGCACTGTCACGACCACCACCACCGTCACCAGCTCCAGCACCAGCACTAGCACCAGCACCAGCAGCAACACCGCCACTACCATCATCATCACCAGCATCAGCAATAGCGTCACCGTCACCATGGCCATCTAAGCCGGGCAGCAGCAGCGCAACAGATTCATTGCCATTGCCACACCCACCCTTCACTCTCCCACTCTCCTTCTGAGGCGCCTCAAAACTAGATCCCTTGCCACACCCACCCTTTCTCCCACTCTCCCCTTCCCCTTCACTCCTCCGCCGCTCTTCCTCCAGCTGTGCCCTCAACGTATCCACCCAGGTCATCGGATTAACCTCACCGGGTTGACTGGGTTGACTGGGTTGACTGGGTTGACCGGGTTGACTGGGCTGACCGGGTTCACCGGGCCGGCAGTTGCTGTCACGAAGCACGAGGTGCGAGACGGAGGAGAGGGTGAGCGGGTTCATGCCTCCGAACAGACCTGGAGGGCGGCGGCGCATTTGGGGAGAGGACGGAAACGGGAAGGGACATGTGGGGAGGAGGGGAAGGTGCGAGACGGAGGAGAGGGTGAGCGGGTTGATGCCTCCGAACAGACCTGGAGGGCGGGCGCATTTGGGGGGGAGAACGACAATGTGGGAGACGGTGGGAGATGAGGGGGAAGGCACATATGGAAAGAGGAAGAGGGGTGAAGGCGGAGGTGGGGGGGGAGGAGGGGAGGGGGGGGGCCTGAAAGAGAAGGGTGCGTTACCAGTGGTGGAGGCAATGGGTTTGAGCATGACCCCGGCGAACACGTTCTCAAAAGGGCGGCGCGGGGGGTTGGGGAGTGGGTTGCCCTCCGATTGGAGGGAATGGGTGAGTGGTTACCAGTGGTGGAGGCAATGGATTTGAGCATGGCCCCGGCGAACACGTTCCCAAGGGAGAGGTGGGGAGGGGGGGGGGTAGGGGTTGGGGTGAGTTACCCTCTAATATAGGCGAGGGTGAGTTACCAGTGGTGGAGGCAATAGATTTGAGCATGGCTCCAGCAAACACGTTCTGCAGCGCCATCGAGAACGCAGTCGAGTTCTGCTCCGCCTGCGCTGACGTGGCACTCGGCGCCTCTGCTGACGTGGCACTTGGTGTCTCCGATGACGTGAGCGGTGCCACTTCAGCACTCTCCGCGCGCACACGATCACAATCACCATCTCTGAAATCACACTTTAAGCCGGGAGCCGTGAAGGGCTCGTTCAAAGTCAGGGACTCCTCTGAACTCTCCTTCAAAGAAGAAATCTCCAAAAACTCCTTTACTGACTGCTCCGAATCCGTTTCTTGGCCTGGCAGTGGCTTCTCCTGAGCGCCCTCTGCTGTTGCCAACGAGCCTGCCGTGCCTGCCTCTGAAGCACACTCCTGTGATGCTGCTGAACCTTTTGAGTTGTTCGCCTCTGCAGCACACTCTTGAGGCGCCTCAGAAGTTAATCTGTTCGCCTCTACTGCAGCGCACTCTGCTGCTGGCGCTGAGGCGCCATCCTCCAGAGCGGCCTGTATAGGTGCTGAGGTGTTGGGATGGGTTTTCGATTCGGACTGGAGCGCGGCGGGTGTGTGCTGGTCTGTGAGTGGTGCTTGTGAGAGGTTATTGTCCGCAGGGGCGGAGGCGGAGGGATGCGAGGAGGAGGCATGTGTGGGAGGAGAGGTGGAGGAGGAGGAGGAGGAGGAGGGTGATGCAGCACTCGCAGTAGCAATGGCGGCAGTGGTGGTGACAGTAGCAGTAGTGGTAGTGGAGGTAGTGAGGGGAGAGGGAGAGGAGGAGGAGGAGGAGGAGGAGGAGGAGGAGGAGGAGGAGGAGGAGGAGGAGGAGGAGGAGGAGGAGGAGGAGGAGGAGGAGGAGGAGGAGGAGGAGGAGGCTGCTGCTGCTGCTGCTGACGTACCTGCTGCTGTAGCCTCTCCTGCCCCTGCTGCTGCTGCTGCTGATGATTCTACTGCATGGCCTGAGGACCCCACTGCCTGAGTGCCCGGCTTCCCTTTTCCCCCACCTGTTGCTACAGCCGCCTCTGCACCACTGTTCCCTGCTGCACCGCCAGCAACAGCAGCAGAGCTTCCTGCTGCTCCGACAGTAGTAGTCGCAGTGTCATCCTTTCCTTGGGCACCATCAGCAGCGCCTTTCCCTGCATCCCCATCAGCACCGCCCTTGCCCGCGGCAGCAGAATCAGCAGCAGCAGAATCAGCAGCGGCAGCGGCAGCAGCGGCAGCGGCAGCCTCCTGGTGGCGAATGAGCATCTGCTGGAGCACAAAGTGCAGCTGCTCCTGCTGCTGCTGCAGCACCACCATCGCCCGGTCCAACTGACTCTTCACATGCTGCTGCGTCTCCCTCTCCGCCTGCTCCTTCCCCATCTGCTGCAACTGCTGCGCCTGCGCCTGCTGCACCTGCTGCCGGCGCCGGCGCCGCCGCGACGACGCGTGGGCGAGGCTCTGCTGCTGCTGGTGCTGCTGCTGCTGGAGAAGCAGCTGCTGCTGCAGCGACTGCTGCTGCTGCACGTGGTACTGTTCGATCCGCTGCTGCAGCTGCTGCGGCTGCTGCTCAGGAGTGGTGGAGGAGTGGAGGGAATTGAGCGACTCGAGGAGGTGCAACTGGTGCGGGTTCATGTGCTGCTCCATGGCCCGTTTCTGCTGCATGATTTCGGCTAAGTGCTTCTGAAGCTCCTCGTCTGAGATACGCTGGGGGTTCTGAGTGCTCGATTGCTGCTGTGACTGTGACTGTGACTGCGATTGCTGTGCCTGTGCCTGCGACTGGGACTGGGACTGTGACTGCTGCGACTGGGACTGCTGTGACAGCGACTGCTGGAGCAGCTGCTGCTGTAGCGGCAGCTGCAATGGCTGCTGCTGCCAAAACGGCTGCTGCTGCGGCTGCTGCTGCTGTGGCAGCGCCTGCAGCGGCTGCTGCTTCTGCCCACCGTCCCTCTGCCCCTGCCCCCCCTGCTGCGCCCCCTGCTGCCCCAGCACGTGCCTGGTTTGCCGCTGCAGCAGCTGCTGCGTGTCGTGCTGCGACTGCGCGAGCAGGGAGGGCAGCATCTTCATCTGCTGCAGCAGCTGCAGGTCCTCGGGGTTGCCCTGCACGTACTGCTGCATCTGCTCCAGCGTCGCCTGGTACTGCTGCTGCTGCTCGTGCAGCCGCCGGAACGCCTCTGACTGCCGCAGCACCCACCGCTCGTGCTCCTCGTCAAACGGCTTTGCAGCAGCAGCACTGCTAGCACTGCTGCTGCTTCCTGCATCCCCAACTGCTGCTCCTCCTCCTGTAACTGCCCCTCCTGCCCCCCCTGCTCCTGCTCCTCCTCCTCCTCCCCCTCCTGCTCCTGCCCCTCCGCCCTTTCCTCCTTTGCTCTTCTTGGCTCCTTTCCGCTTCCCTCCTCCTTTCCCCGCCTCCTTGCCTGCATCTGCGCCTGCCACTGCTGCTCCTGCTCCAGGAGCACTTGTCGTAGATGTACCTGCACCAGATGTACCTGCACCAGATGTACCTGCACCAGATGGACCTGCACCAGATGCACCTGCACCAGATGCACCTGCACCAGATGCACCTGCACCAGATGCACCTGCACCAGATGCACTTGCACCAGATGCACCTGCACCAGATGCACCTGTCGTGGGTGCGCCAGCACCAGACCCACCTGTTGCAGGTGAGCTTGTACCAGATGCACCTGTCACTGGCACACCCGTCGCAGCAGAAGCATTGGTTGCAGCTGCAGCAGGTGCATTGGGTGGAGTGGCAGCAGCAGTGCATGCAGAGGCAGCGGTAGCAGCAGCGGTAGCAGCAGCGGTAGCAGCAGCGATAGAAGCAGCAGAAGCACTGGAAGCTGGAGAAGCAGTGCGCACAGGGGCAGCAGAGGAACAGAAAGCAGCAGAAGGAGGAGCAGCAGCAGGAACTACAGCTGCTGCTACTGCCCCGCCTGCAGCGTTGGAAGGCGGCGGTTGTGAGTGCAGGGAGGCACGCAGCAGCTGCTTGCCACGAGATGACGAAGCAGGCTTAGAGGGTGCGCCACTCAATGGTGCAAACGGCATGTGCGACGCTTCACCCGCCGATGCACCTGCTGCTGGCCCTGCTGCCGCTGCTGCTACTAGTCCTCCTCCTCCTGCTGCTGCTGGCACTGCTGCCACTGTTCCACCACCTCCCCCTGCTGCTGTTGTTGGTGCTGGTGCGGCTACAACACCACCAGCACTGCCAGCAGCACCACCGCCAGCACCACCACCAGCAATCCCTCCTTCTTTTGCTCCTCCCACCCCTTGTCCAACTGCCCCTGCGCCCCTTCCCCCGCCCGCACTGCCAGGCGCAGCCGCAGCAGCAGCAGAAAGAGCAGGAGCGGCAGCAGCCGGAGCAGCAGCAGCGGGAGCGGGAGCAGCATCGGAAGCAGCAGCAGACGGAGTGGAAGCCATGCGCGGGGGAGGCTGCAGATCCAACTCGCACGCCTTTCTAAGGTCTAAATCACTCATGAGAAGGCACCACATGGCATCCCCGCGGCTCATCTGCGGGCCCCACACAGCCTGCAGCGCGCACAGCATACGAGACACCCCATCCTGCTGCAGCTCCCTCCGAGTCGAAAACCCCAGGCTCGGGCTCCCCCCCGTGCCCTGCCCCGAGCCTGACCCCAAGGCATGGCGCGTTCCGAAGCTGCTGCCGGTGCCGAAGCTGGAGGTGTGGGTTCTGCTCCCCGAGCCTTTCCCGGACCTGCCTGCAGCCATGGCTGCGATTTCCGGGCCTCTGCCGAAGAGGAGAGCATTGGAGACGATGTTGGTCAGGGCGTCCTTTTCGCCGAAGCAGCTGCCGAACCTGTCGACGGCCTGCCGAGCCGCTTCTTCGGTGTAGCCGAAGCTAGCGACCTTGACCACCGCTTCGCTATGGAGCGAATCGAGCTTCTCTAATAGAAGCTCTTCTAAGCGGAATTCAGTTGCATCATCCCAAATGTAATTCTCAGGAGAGTCTGAACCGGCAGCTTGTGCAGTAGCAGCAGCATCCTGTCCAGCAGCAGACACAGCAGATGCGTTTTGCGGGTCATAATAGCTCTGCTGCTGCACACTTTGTTGCTGCTGCAGTTGTTGCTGCTGCTGCTGGTTCTGCTGCTGCTGATACTGCTGCTGGTACTGCTGCTGCTGGTGGTACTGCTGCTGCTGTTGCTGCTGCTGCTGCTGCTGATAATGCTGCTGCTGCTGATGCTCCCGTTGCTGCTGCACCTGCTGGGACTGGTGATGCTCATAACGGGGATCAACATGCGACAGATCGCTCTCCTCTGCCACGTCATCCGCGTCATCAAATTCGCTCTCCATGTCATCATCCGCGATATCCACGTCATCGTCCTCGTCATAATCCTCTTGCGCATCCACTGTGTCCACGTCATCACCGTCATCATAATCCCCGTCCTCGTCATAATACTCATCCTCCACGTGGATAATCCCACCCACGCACGACCCGTCACAAGCATCTTCAGTACAAGACACCAAACCCCCCTCGTCTTCAAATCCGCGCAGACCTTCCTCCCCCTGCGACCCCCAACGGCGGAGACCATCCCCCCGCAAGGTAACCCGGCTACCCGACGCTCCCCCTGCACCGTACGCCCCTGCTTCCGCGGACTCGCGGAAAGTCATCTGCATCTGCGCCATGCGCGCAGCAGCCGAGCCTTGCGCCTGTGACTGCTGCTGCGCCTTCTGCTGCGACTGCGACTGCGACTGCGACTGCGACTGCGACTGCGACTGCGACTGCTGCTGCGTGCTCGCCGCAAGCCTCAGCTGCTGCTGCTGAAGCTTCCCCAAGTCACTCTCCCCCGTCCCTGCTAACCCCTGACCGCTTCGCGCTCCCACCTGCGATACCACCTGACATTTCACCTGCAATCCGAGCTGCGTTACATCCTGACGCGCATGACCGCCGTCCGTCTCCGCCACCGGCGGACACGCTAACGGCGCAGCGGCCGGCGGGCTTCCCTGCGCGGAAGGCGCGTCCAGGCGGAACTTGCGCTTGTTCCGGTGACTTGCTCTCTCCGCATCCTCCGCTCTAGCCCGTTCCGCATCCTCCACGGCCGCTGCTACTAACGAGGCTTCATGCGCAATTCCTGTAACGGAGACGCGATCCGCTACTGCTGGTGCTACAGCAGGCACGACGGGATTATTCTTAACGCCATGGTTCTTCGACGGACTGGAATAATTGCCTGCAGGGCCCGAAGGCCCTGATTGGTTACCTGATTGGCCTAATGAGGCTGACTGGCTTGAAAAGCCTGACTGAGCTGAAAGCCCGGATTGCGTTGAAATCCCTGACTGGTTTGAAAGCCCTGACTGGTTTGCAGGCCTTATCTGGCCTGGCAATGATCCGTGCGACGAGCAGTTGTCGCCGGATCTTACAGCCTCAACGGCCTTCTTACTTGAACCCTTCGCGAGAGATGGACCATGAGCATACAGCTGCGGCGTTTCTTGCACCTGGACCTCCCCCCCGGCCAAATTTTGCAGCTGAGGCGTTTCCACGGGTAACTGCGGGTCTGACGTGCTAGACCCGCTTTTTACTTGCTGCTTGCTGCTGTTGGAGTTGTTGCTGCTAGAGTTGCCGTGGTTGTTGCCGGCCTTGCCGGATCGTCCCTTCTTGCCTTTTCGCGGAGCCATGGAAATGCTACTGCCGAGACCAGGCAAGAGAAGAAGCTACCACGAACGCATTTCCGTCAAATCTGCTCGTGAGGGGTCCAGCGAAGGCAAATGCGGACTACGGTTCAAGTTTCGGCTAACTGTGATGGACGCAGGGTCAAACGCAGATTAGATCGACAAATTGAAAAATCGAGACAAGTTTAGAATGTTGGAACGAATGAACTGGCACGTGAACATATGGATGCCTGTTGGAATGAAAGAACCATGGCGGAAAGCACTTGCTCTAAGGGAAAAAGTAGGAGAGAGGGAGAAGGGAAGAGCTGAGCCAAGTCATGCCATGGCTGTCATGGGTGATCCAAGCAACGAAAAGGAAAAACCTCAGAAGCAGAATTAGGGTAACCCTAATTTCAATTTCTTCTATTGGTCGAGAGCCATACAAGAGCAGCATCGAGAAAACAAATCAGCAGGACTGAAGTTTCGGGCAACTGGTGAAAAGAAACGAGTCATGATGGTGGTGACTTTTCCGTTGCTGCCACATGATCCTGCTTCGGCCTGAAGGGACACGCAAGGTGCTTGGCCTGAAGGTTTCGGGGTTGGTTTGGGTGGGGTCTGTCGGCCGCGCTGGCGAGCGGGTGCGATCGTGTGAGGTGACCTGAAAAGGAGGAAATGGACGGATGGATGTTCCTCGGCGGGATGAGGCATGGGATTGTAAAGTATGGACTGGTTGCCATGTGGCAGCAGACGAGAATTCACGATGACGATGTTGGCGTGGTATCCTCGCAACAGTACGAGAACCGTTTGTTGTGATACATCTGTAGAGTCTATACGTTAGAAGTTTTGCTAGTTTCCAACTTCAGAACCAACAAAGTTGCAATGACCCACATCCTAATGGAAACTAAAACAAGACATCAAATGCATTTTACAAAGGGCCGCCCAGGGTCTACCTAGGGGGAGTTAAAGAGATATGTATGTACAATGCATTCCAGAAACTAATAAGCTATTGGAAGAAGGTATCTAACCTGTGGCTATAGAAAGGGGGAGAGATCATAATAGTAGTCAACCTGGGGCGACCAAGCAGAGTCCATGCAACCGACGATTTCCATCGAGCCCAATCACTGTCTCACCGTCAGTTCCCCTCTCTCGACAAAATGTGCCATACCGCTACTCTATAATACAAGTATTTCAGCATGCACAAAAACACGACACCCACTATGCCTCCATGATTCACGCTCTCTCTGCACAACTCGCGCATTCTCTTCATTCGCTTGAGGGCGGAACATTTGAAACATTGAAAGCCCGAGCCCCTGTAGATACAGCTTCTTTCAGCTGCGGCCAATCAGAGGCCAGAAAGCTAAGCAGGGATGATGAGCCTCCTGCTGCCATCAGCTCATTCAGCTGCTGCACTCCTCCCCCCCCTCCTCCTCCCCCACCAGAAACAGCAGTCTCCGGCTGCTCTTGCTCCTGCTGCAGCCGCTGAAACTGCAACTGCTGCTGCTGCTGCTGAAACAGCACCTCCTGTTGCTGCTGCTGCTGAAACTGCTGCTCCTGCAGCTGCTGCAGAAACTGCTGCTGCTGCTGCTGCTGAAACGACTGCTGCCTCAGCTGCATCCCCTGCTGCTGCAGCAGCTGCTGCTGGAGCAGCTGCCGCAGAGCATGCAGCTGGCTCCCCCCTGCAGCGCTCTGCTGCGCCGCCAGCAGCGCCTGCAGCGCCTGCAGCCCTTCCTGCAACTCTCCCTGCTCGCCTTGCATCGCCTCTTGCCCTCCCAACACCTTCTCTTCCTCTCCCTCCTGTCGCTCCTGCCGCTCCTGCTGCTCCGCCTGTTCCTGCCGCTGCTGCTGCCACTGCTGCTGCTCCTGCCTCTGCTGTTGCTGCTGGTACTCCGCGCTGTCCTCTTCCATGCGAGATCCTGGCCTTTCCGCGAAACCGCCGCTGGACATAGACGCGCTCTCCGTGTCCCCCACAAAGCCCCGCGCTGCTCCTGCTGCTCCTGCTCCTGCTCCCGCTCCTGCTGCCATGGCGAATCTCGACCGCTTCTGAGTCGATTCCAGCCCAGCGAACTGCCCCTGCTGCTGCTGCTGTGACTGCTGCTGCTGCTGTGACTGCTGCTGCTGCAGCTGAAGGGTAGCGGAATCAAAGAGCGACGCTTGGTGCTGACTCAAGGACAGATGTGCCGCCACGTCGTCCATTCCCATGGAACCAGCGAGCCCGCCACCCGCAGCAACAGCGCCACCGCCGCCAGAGGAACCCGCGGAAACGTCACCAGCGGCAGCAGAACCGGGAGCCACAGCCCCAGCAACCCCAGCGGCGCCAGCGGCGGCGCCAGCGCCAGTCAAGCCGCGCGAACCTTGAGGTGTGGCATTCGCTGACGACGGCTGCTGCTGCTCCAGCACCGACAAATCAATGGTCAGATTCCGCCGACCCAGAATCGACGGCCCTTTCGACCTGCTGCTGCCAACACCACCACCACCATCCATTCCTCCCCCTGTCCCACCCCCTCCCCCCAAGACCGATAATCCCAAGGTGGAGCCCCCTAGGCTCGGGGTTCCAAGGCCTGAGGGGAAGAGGCCGGTGAGGGGGGCGCGCTCTACGGGGGAGGACGAGGAGCGGAGGAGAGAGCGGTGGTGAAAGGCGGAAAACGGTGGCGTTTTCGCAGTTGCGCCGCTTCCCCCCAGCCCTCCCCCCATTCCGCCACCGAGACCTGCGCGGAACATGGTGTTTGGGGAGCCGAGGGGGGAAGACCCCACCCCCGCGCCCATTCCCCCAAACCCGCCCGCGCCTGCGCCGCCACCCATGCCAACCCCCCCAGCCGCTCCCCCTGCCGCTGCAAGCGCCGCCAGAGCGTTATCTCCGCCGAAACCTGCGCCGCTCCCCCCTACGCCGGCAGCGCCGGCGGAGGAGAGGAAGCGCGGGAAGAGGGGGGAAACTATGGGCGGAGTGGGCGCGGAGGGCTCCCCCAGGCTCGCGCTTTTGGGGAACGCGAGAACCTCTTGCGGGGAGGGGAGTTCGGAGAACGGAATCCCGGAATACGCGGCGGCCAGGCGGAGGCGTTTGGCGGTCTGCTGGCGCAAGTCGAGCAGATCATCCCCTCCGCTTCCGCCGATCCCGGTCATGGCGGAACCGAAACCTCCGCCTGCGCCTGCCCCCGCACCAACGGAGAAGGGGAAGGGCTGCGCGGAACCGGGGGACGGCGCGCCGCTGCTGGAGGAGAGGCCGTGGGGGGAGAAGGGCTGCGAAAGCGGATGGGGGGAGGGCACGCCGGAGTGCATTCCGCTGGGGGAAGAGCAGGTGGACGCGGCGGCGGAGGTGGTGGCGAGGCGGCGGAGAACGTCGGTAAGCGCGCGGATCTGCGCAACGGGCGGAGCGGGGAAGCCAAGGCGGGAGGGGGGTGGAGGAGAGAAGGGGAGGGGAAGAGGGGGGATAAGAAAAGCAAGCCCAGCAGTGCAGGTTCGAAGGGGGAAACATCTTACGACCGGCTCTTGAAAGAAACAAGGCCAAGCGAACAAGCAGCGCCAAAGCTTGCGACACTTGCGACGCTTGCGAATAGCTGCGATATGGACGTGCGCAATGCGGCGGGCTACTCACGTGTTCTACTCGGCTAGAGTCGTATCGTCCGCTCCCGGGTGTGCCGGCGCCGCTGCCGGGCGAGAACGTGGGGCTGTCGGGGAACGCGGAGCGGTACATGGCGGCGTACGCGGGGGACGCGGGACCCGCGCTGCTGTTTCCGCTGATACTGTCGCGCGGAGAGTCCAGCAGGCGGGAGGTCTGCGCGCGCGGAAGGGTGGGGAGGGGGAACGGGGAACGGGAAGAGGGAAAGGGGGGTTAACAGGTGGCAGGAAGAGGAAGACGGAGTGGGAGGGACGGAGAGCGCGTGGGAAGGAGAAGGGGGAGGAGGAGGCGGGCGAAGAGGATTGGAAAGGGGGAAGGGAGAATGGAGCAATACTTACGCGTCGGCTGATGATGTCGGCGAGAATGGCGGGGTACTTGCGCTTGAGCGTGGAGTTCCAGTGGTTCTGCCATTCACCGCGATGAGAACGCGGGAAGAAAAAACACGTCAGTTCTACCATACACGCAACAGACCGGCAAAAGAAAAGGGACGACTAAAAAAACAGAAAGAAAGAAAACAGTGTTTGCGTGGTATGTACGAGGCGACTAGCCGCTGTGGCGCGAGACAATAGCCGTACCTTGATAGCATTATCCGTGCGGCCGAGGAGGCTCTTAGCGATGATGGACCACTTGCTGCCATGCTCCGCGTGCCCCATCACGATGATGCGATCCTCCTCGTCCGTGAACGGATCCTTGTTCACCTGCCACGTGTCACGCATCCGACAGCCGGCACAAGAGCGACGAAGCGCGATGAGAAACGGAGGATCGACACCCACTCAGCTCTATCAATCGCTCGCGTTTATCTTGGACAATTCTCAACAGCCAGCTAGTCTCTTGCTTGCTACCACATCCACGACAGCGGTGGTGAACAGAAGAGCGCTGACGAATCTGAAGGGACGGCCCTATTGAACTATCACTAGAAACGAGAATGCAAACACAATGACGTGTAGATTTCCACAGCTCATCCGTCTCGGCCGTCCTTTTCGCGCCGACATAACGCCGCTCGGACGTCATTCTCGTCTACCCCCTTCATTCCTCGAACCTAATTCTCATACTCATTCGTAGTGCTGTATGCAAACGTTGTCTTGCCAAACGTAGGATCTAGCTGCAGGAATGGGGACGACTGGCGAGAACAGACGGCAACCCTAGAAGCACGCATGACCTCTGAGACCCTAAGGGTCTTCAAGACGTGTACTCGCTAAGGGTATCCGCGATTGACATTCGATGTGGGTATCATCCTTGGTGTTCAGACGGATTTCCGGCCGACACTACTTAGTGGGAATCTCATCGAACTTACTTCGGGATTCAGTTGGTTGCACCATCGCAAGCGACAGCTCTTGCCGGACCGCCCCTTGAGTCCTTGGGCTATCAGTGACCAGTTACGCGGTCCGTACTTGGAGATTAACTCTCTAAGCTTGTCATCTTCTTCTGGACTCCAGGGCCCTTTCACCACTTCCGGATCCATCTCCGCCATTGGCGGCTCGCTAAGTTCGCTAATGCACGGGTGGTGAGGTAATTGAATAGGAGGACAGATGTGCGCCCGGAAATCCAGGAAATGGCTTCTGGCAGGAACTAACAAACAAAGCGGAATGGCGTGCTAGTTACGCCTAGTTGACAACTAATGCTCGAGAAGATCCAGACCAAAGTCGGAAAGCCGAACCGTCATTTGTCCAAGAGAGGTCAATGCATTACAGAAAGCAGAGCACACCTAACGACACGATCACTTGTGAGTTGAAGTAACACTGGAGACAGTGAAAACCGCCAGCTTTCAACAAACTCCCACCAGCTTTTTTTACCTCCTTTTCCGCCACCAACCGACACAGCAGAGACCACAGAAGCACCAGAGCCAAAACCTGGGAAGAGAAGGAATCACGCGGTGATGCGGCGCTCGCCCCTCACCTTCCTGCGGCTGCACCACAACCACAGAAGCGCGTGCCTGTGAGAAGAGGACCCAGCGGAAACGGGAACGGCGGAGATGCCACTGGGCGGATGGATTGGTGGGAAACACAACGCAAGAAATGGGCGGTGGTGGAATCGACGGTTGAGATGGAGCAGCTGGGCTGGTTGGGATTTATCGGACGGGCATGAGTGACGAGTTTTTCGACACTGAAACTGTACAGAACACGAGTCTTGCTCTGGCGTGGAACATCCACGCCCGCCACATGGTACGGCACGAGCTGTCGCTAGCGACGGATTCACTGTGCAGATGTGAGGATGCCCTTTCACGATGTTGCTTCGGACAGATATCTGATGATTCGCTCAAATTAACAAACAGCTCTCGAAATCTCCGGTTCAACAGCATGTTCCCCAAGGATGAGGTCCGAGTCCCGACTCCACGTTTAGTGATGGAACAGAGCACAAACAAGAAAAACACCTGTTCACAAGCCTCGGCAATGTTGAGAGGATAAGCTAGCCCAGAACTTACAACCATAAGAGCTCACATGTAGAGTGGAAATATTGCTCAGCGAGAAAAATATACCACTTCATAAAATAAGCCGCGTCCCGCACTGTCGTTTAGCGTCACGTGAGCCTCGAGGGGGGGTGATGAGTAACAGTGCACTAGAGGCCACAATTGACATCATCAAGGATTCATCACGTGACAAATTTGACCACAGCTGAATCTGAAAACAGCCGAATCCATTCTGTCATGTCAAACCGAGGTAGAACGTGTAACGGTCGTCTCGACCAAAAAAAATGCTTCCTTCCCAACGAATTGCAGTAACGTGTGATAACCGTCAGGTGAGCTGAACCAGTCAGCGGAAGCTTATGTCGGCATATTTTTCAGCAGGAAAAGCAATGGGCGACTATCCTTCGCTACTCATTCGTTCACGGGTCTGGTGCAAGTCGCTCGTTCGGCGTGCAAAAGGGAACAGCATGTTTTGATGACTTCACCCACAGCGTCCAAACTGGGAAAGAAAACAATCTTGTCCAGCGCATAACAAATCCTTCTTTCCGATACTAGCCAACAGGGCACTGGTGCTTATATATTGAGGACACCCAAGATAATACAAGCAAAAAACAAGCATGATCCAGCGTTGCATATATCATACATCACATTGCATACGTACTAATTTCTTGCTGCCTCTTTTTTAGCACCACAAGGCATACCCACATGAACAACCAAGGTCGCAAGGCTGGTATCTTCAATGCACCCTCTGTCCCAATACCCCTCCGTAATGAACATTCAAATACTCCACCAATTCTTGCTCAAACCCGTTCAAGGATGTCAATAGGCCCGTTAGGCATGTCGATGGAAACAATCCTTATGGTCGCATTCACCAGCCGCCCCTTCACGCCAGTAACTGCATACTGCATGAGCGCCGTCAGCGCGTTGAACTCGTCAATCGTCGCCCGCACCTCTTGCGTGAACCCACTGTACCGTCATCGCCCGGATATAAGACATATATGTCTTATCTCATACACTAAAAAAAATGCTTGGGTTATCTTGTATTTGGGGAGGTTTTGGGTGTCTTATAAGTCTTATAAATGGAAACCTTTTTAAACTACTTAGAAATATTTTCACGCATCTGGAAAAGAGTTTCTCATTAAGAGTGTCGATGTTGCGAAGTTGCCACTTCGGCAACCATTGTTCGGGACGCCACGTCATCCCGAATACTTGCAGAGTCAAATTTGGTAGTATGTGACTCAGCACGTGGCAGAATTCGCGTGTCGCAAGGGTAAAAATGTACGCGGTATTTCAATTTTCACTATAATACATTGCAGTTTCGATTATAAGACACATATGTCTTATCTCGTACACACAAATAGGTGTCGTATAAAAAGGCTAGCCTGTTTATAAGAGACACCCGTATAATAGACAACCCCTGTCTACTATTCAACACTGTCTTATATCCGGGCGATGACGGTAGTTCCACTCGTTTGTACCGTGCACCACGAACACGGACGGGCATGTGTAGTCACACGTACCGTTCCTGCTAATGAGCGATACATACGCCTCCGAAATGGTAACAGTCGGTTCATCGCAGCACCCGCCCCCCTTCTTCCCCTTCTTGCACTTTTCCTTGTCTGCCCCTGTCAACTTTCTCTTATCCTTGTTGCTCTCCTTCTCCTTATCCTTCTCCTTCTTCTTGCACGTTACGCCAGGGTGCTCTGGGTCAGAGGAAGGCAGGGCCGGGACGATATCTTGCAAGTAGACCCGGAGGGCGGTGGTGAAGGGCTCATCGGTGGGCACCACCACGACGAAGACAACGTCCACTCGGAAGGACAGCCCATCGGCTCTGCCGCACAGAAACAGGGAAACAAGCAGGAGGGTTTGAAGCCAGGGAGACTCGGAGGGCGGTGGTGAAGGGTTCATCGGTGGGCACCACCACGACGAAGACAACGTCCACTCGGAAGGACAGCCCATCGGCCCTGGCACATGGAAGCGAAACACGCATGAACAACAGAAGGCCGGGGAGAAGGGGTCGTTGGTGGGCACAACCACAACGGATACAACGTGCACTCGAAAGGACAAACCGTTAGTCCTGGCACATGGACAGAACACATGCGCAGGCAACAACAGAAGGACATCAAGGCATATATGCATCCCGCTTCAGGGCAATGTGTTGCAACGGGAACGTATGCTCTTCAAACGTGGTCATGATGAGAGAGCAAAGGCGAGTCAGATGTTATGGAGACAGAAACTCACGACTGGGTGAAGGTGAGGTTGGCGCCGCCAGGCATGTAGGAGCGAAAGCGGACGACGTAGTTGGGGTTGGGAACAGTCGCCGGGACTGGCCTGACTTCCACTGCACGCAGGTGCATGCAGAGACAATGAAAGACAGTGAAAGAGAGTGAAAGAGAGTAAGAAGTTTCGAATACTGTCACTGAGAGCGTTTCTTGAGAATTATAAAAAAAAACGTGTTACATGGCGTGCCCCCCCCCCCCACTACCACTAGTTGCACCCGAAACGTCCACCATCCCACACTCACGGAATTTCAGGTTGGCATCAACCCGGAACTGCCCCACTGCCGACCGCAACCCAGCCGCCTGCATGGTACTTGTCCCATACGCCATGACCACCCCGGGGAACACCAACGAGTTATCAATCATCTGTAGCAGAGCAGCGTAGCGCTCGGGATCGGTGGCAGCGGTGCTGGTGAATGTGCCGACAGCCTGCCACACGGACGGCACGGGCTGGACCCACGTGGGCGCGGCTGGGGGGAGGCTGCAGCTGGACGGGTCGCATCCGGGGACGGTTGTGTTTGCTAGGGTGATGTAGGCGGGCGGGCCGGTGGGGAGAGCAGCGAAGATCTTGTAGGTCGCTTGGACGGTGGCGGTGGCGGAATCGAAGCTGGGTGTGGGTGGGTGGGGAAGGAAGGGGTGGGGGATGGAAATTGGGGAAGATGGGGGGAGAGGGGGTTAAGAAGAGGGGGAATGGGGATAAAGGTAGGGGAGAGCTGCGAAGATCTTGTAGGTCGCTTGGATGGTGTTGGTGGAGGAATCGAAGCAGAATGTGGGTGGGGGTGGGGGTTGGGGGGGGGGAGAGGGTGGGAAGTGAGGGTGGGGGGGGGATGGACATGGGTGATGCGGGGAGAGAGGGTTAAGACGAGGGGGAATGGGGAAAAAGGAAGTGGTGGCAGAAAGAAATAGGTACAGTGGATAACGTTAGAAGGTCCTGAGCAATTTCGAGACGCAGGTGCTTACGAGAGGCGCAGGTAGATGACTGCGCGTGAGTCGCCATCCACCATCTCCGCGACAACATATGTGTCTGGTCGACGACGGGATGAGGAAGGGAGGGGGAGGAGGGGGGAGAACGGGAGGAGGGGAAGAGAGAGTGACGAGGGAGACGAGGGGGATGAGGGGAAAAGCGGGGAGCGTGAGAGTGCGAATTCGAGAAAAGAGGGGGTGCAGACGATATTCGGGAGAGCGACGCGAGGGTGGGGGAAGCACGAGCGGCGCGAGGGTGGGGAGAGCACGAGCGGCGCGAGGGTGGGGGGGGGGGGGGGGGGCGGGGGATCGCACCAGAATTGCCGCTCCCCGGCGAGCCGACGGGAGGAGGGGCGGCGGCAGAAGTCGAGCCCGCGAGACTGGAGGCAGAGAGCGCTGCGGGGAAAACGTGGGTGGAGGGGGTGGGGGGGGGGGGGGGGGGAATTGGCGGAAGAGGGGGAAGGGGGAGGGGGGGATGGGAAGGAAGAGGAGGAGCAAGTCGTCCGCGGTGATACTACCACGGCGGCTGGGAGAAAGCTACCGTGGATTTATAGCCTCACGCGGCACCGGAACCCTAAACTGGCAGTTGCGCATGCGGAAAGAATTGCCGACTCGGAGTTTCGAAAAGAGTCCCTTCACCGGTCGGCAATTCAAAGGCCGAAATCTTGACATGTTCAAAGGCATGTGAAACAAGTGCAAGATGGCGTCGACTTGACTCGGCTTCTCAAATCAGCCCCGCTTAAATCAGTGGAGCTCAGTGATCAGAACCCGGGAGAGCTCACCGATAACAAGAATGAGGGCGAGGGGGAAGGGATTCGCCGTCGCGAATGGCCGCGGCGAGCGCGTCCGATGCGACGGTCTCGACATGATCGCAGCTACAATGGCGGCGGACTAACGACGACGCGTACACTGAGCGTTAGAAGGAGCGATAATGGAGCGTGAATGCTATTACTCGGAAATGCTCGACCGATGAGCGCAGCGCTGCACTAAGTGAATCGATCGCTGCTTTGCGGCGGCTTGTTATCAGGGGTGGTGAAAGTAGACTGGCTTGACTAGATTCGTCCATTTGAACTGGAGAAGCTTCTCGCCCCACTGTACGCTCACACGATTTTCGGGACTGTTGGTGAGTCGGCAGGGCGCTGGCTACTAGGTGGCCGAGGACATAAATTTGGAGAATCAAGAAAGCAAGAAAACTGCTTGACTCTTGGACAGATGCAGAGGGAAGGTCCTAATCTGGTACTGTATTTCAAGTCCTCTGCTGCTGCAAGAAGCGCCTGGCTCGTAAAAAACAAGCAGAACCCTCTGCTCTGGTGGCAGCGCCTGGGTGTTCGCCTGATGCTGGTGGTGTGGAGGATAGGACTTCGATTACAGCGGTGTGCGGTGCGGTTTGTTCAATTGAGTCAAGCGGTTCGGGATCCGAAAATGGATTTGGTAGAAATTGGGGGGTGTGAAATATGAGTTGATTTCTACACTAGACCATATCCAAACGTAGGGAAGCGCAAACGAGCCGTTCTTAAAGCCCAGCCCCCGAATTACAAAGAAGCCTTCACAAACTGGGGCCAGTTTGTGAAGCACTCCTGCTGGTTTCGGGATAGCAGGGTTTAGGGGAGGTTTCCGAACCTAAACCCTGCTATCCCGAAACCAGCAGGAGTGCTTCACAAACTGGCCCCAGTTTGTGAAGGCTTCTTTGTAATTCGGGGGCTGGGCTTTAAACGCACACTGTTACGAGTGCAATTGAGTGAGCGAGCGAGAATTGCACTATCGAAGCAAGAGTACAAATGAGCGAAGGCATGAGCGAAGAATGTATAGCGAAACTACAGTGGTAACGGTAATGGACTGTGGTTGTCGCGTGACGGGCCTGGGACTGAGGTTGGGAAAAGTGTCGAAGCGGAGGCCCGGAGCGCGGGTTACCCACCGAGCCGTGAGGTCGGGGTGCGACGTGCGAAGGCGGCGGGAGGATTGTCGATGCGAGAGTTGCAAGTGGTAACGGTGCTGACTGTGGTGCTACAGTGGTGTACGCGCTGAGCGGGGACGCGAAGTAAGGAAAAGGAATTTCCCTTACACACACTAACTCCCTACAGCAACCCTGCATACAGCAACAGCTGTAGGATGCATAAACGTTTCCCGGAAGCATAATAAATGAAATTTTATCTCAACAAATAAAATACTAATGCTGCAGTCTGATCCAACCCCTTCCAGCAAGAACACAACCCAACACATCTACAACACAAGCAGAAGTAAACTACGATACAAAACAGAAGGCCGGGGCGAGATGACAGCCATTAGAAGCTATGTTAGCAGCAGCCAATTGTGGCAACCCAGCTCCAAAATGCCACGGCTGTTCGACACATCGCATATCAGCGCCCTAATATCGCTGCAGCAAATCATTCGGCCCCTTGCCGCTGCCAGCTGCCTCCAGCTTCATGCTCGCATTCACCAGCCGCCCCTTCACCCCAGTGAGCGCATACTGCATCAGCGCATTCAGCGCAACATATGTGGGGTTCGCCTCACGAGCTTCCTGTGTGGGATAACCCCAGGCGGGTGAGAAGAACCACTGCTGGGCGCCAATGACGGCGTAGAAAATGGGGCAGTTGGTGCCGGGGGGGCAGGTGTTGGAGTAGCCGCCGAGAGGGAGGGAAACGGATGAGACGGTGGGAGCAGCGGGAGGAGGAGGGGATGGGGGTGGGGATGGGGGAGGGGACGGAGGAGGGGATGGTGGGGATGGGGGCGGGGAGGGTGGTGGGGAGGGTGGGGATGGGGGCGGGGATGGTGGAGGGGAAGGTGGTGGGGAAGGTGGCGAGGGTGGTGGTGGGGAAGGTGGGGAGGGTGGTGGGGGGGAAGGTGAGGAGGGCGGAGACGATGGAGGCGTCTTCTTTTCCTTCTCCTTTTTCGCCGCCTCCCTAATTGCCATCGCCTCTTGCTTCTTGGCTATCGCCTGCTCTTTTGCCAGCTTGGCCGCCTCCTTGTTTGCAATAGCTTCCTCCTTTGCCTTCTTTGCCGCATCCCGTTTCGCAATCGCCTCCTCCTTGGCCTTCTTCGCTGCTTCCTTCTTTGCAACGGCCTCCTCCTTGGCTTTCCTCGCATCCTCCTTCGCATTCTCCCTCTCCTGCTTCGCCTGCTCCCTTGCTGCAATCGCCGCCTTTCGCTCCGCAATAGCCTCCTTTCTCGCGGCGATCGCTGCCTCTCTCTCCTTCCTCGCATCCTCCTTCGACTTCTGGTCCGTGCTGCTGCTGCTGCTGCTCACTGCTGTCCCAGTGGGAGGCGGCTCAACACTAAGGAGCCGGCGGCGGCCGGAGGAAGCAGGAGTGGCAGGCGGAGAGGTTTCGTAGAAGATGATCAGACGGCTGGTGACGGGCTCCTCTGTTGGCGCCACCGCCATCCACGTGTAGTCGAGTCGGTAGGTGTATCCATCACTCCTGGTGAGAAGAAGGCGGTGAGAGAGGGGAGGGAGGGAGGGAGGAAATGCGTGTTGAGGAATGGAGTCAGCATGAGCGGCTGGGGATGAATTTCTCGCTTCTGGCTCCCTCTCTCTCCTGGTGAGAAAAATGCGGAGAGAGAGGGAGGGAGGGAGGGAGGGAGGGAGGGAGGGAGGGAGGGAGGGAGGGAGGGAGGGAGGGAGGGAGGGAGGGGGAGAGGAAGGGTAGGAGGGAGAGAGATGAGAAAGGGAGTGGAGATGTGAGGGGAATGCGTTTTCAGAGGCATTGAAGCAGGCTCCTCTGTCGGCGTCGCCACCACAAATCGAATCCATGCCAAACTGCGGAAGGAGAAGAGAGGAATCAATGTATTCATAATGGTTGAGAGCACGAGAGAAGTTTCATGGCAGAAGAAGATTATTACAGTCCGTGAAGCTGATTGTATTGACTGCATGGTTTCGGAAACTGGGCATTGAAGCAGGTCTCACTTGAGGGCGAGAGAGAGGTTGGCGCCCCCGGGCATGTAGGAGGAGAAGCGGACGTTGAAGTTGTAGGTGAGAGACGTCATTGGGATGCCGATGCCTGTCAGATACACACGAGGGGAAGGGCGGAGACATAAGCATGAGAACGGGGTGGGAAACCCATGGTGCAGTATTCAGCAAAGCGAATCTTAAAGCACGAGCAGACGAGTGCAGAGCCGTGCTGTCACTGGCATGCGTGACGCACGCGGCAACAGCATGAGCACGCCGGCACGAGCAACGCGGCATGGGCAATGCAGGCTCAACGCGTGAGCAATGCAGGCTGAACGCGTGAGCAGTGCAGGCTCACCATACTGCGAGAACGTGGTGGGCTTGAATGGCTCCGAAACCGCCGTACGCGCAGAACCCGTCTGAGGGTCACTGTACGTCATCACCACGTTCGGGTAGCTGCCCGCGAGAATCTTGGTGTACACGTTGTAACGCTCTGGGTCATTTCCGGGCGAAGTCTGAAATATCCCGTTGTAGCTCTGGTAGACGGAGGGGACACCCGCCGTCTGCCAGGTGATGGCGCCTGGAGCGAGGCTGCACTTGGCCGGGTCGCATCCGGGGACGGTGGTATTTGTGAAGGAGAGGGAAGCGGGCGGGCCGGACGCGAGGGCGGTGAAGACCCTGTAGGCGACGATCATACCCGCCCCTGGACTGCCGGGCGGACTGAAGGGAGGAGGGGGAGGGGGGAAGGAGTATGGGGAGGGGGAGAGGGGGAGCGCAAGTGAGGGGGGCGGGAGGGCCGGAAGAGAGAGACGTGAGGATCCGATGGTATGGGACCCGGGGAGCAAATGAGAGAATGAGGGAGAGTGTGAGGGTGAGACGAAGTGGATGCATGCGCCGGGAAAGCATGAGTCGCAACTGAAAGGAAGATGGGTCCGTGCATGTGCGTGCCATGCAGTGCGGCACGCGTCATGGCATGGCCGGCCGTGCGTGCACATGCGGCTTACGAGATGCTGAGGAAACTTTTGAGTCGACTCAAAAGTCAACGTGCGTGTGCGTGCTATGCAGTGCAGTGCGGCACGCGTCATGGCATGGCCGGCCGTGCGTGCACATGCGGCTTACGAGATGCTGAGGAAGATGGCTGCTCGCGACTCGCCGTCGATCAGACGCGCGAGAAAGTAGGACTCTGCGAGTCAGAGGGCGGGAAGGGAGAGAGAGTGGGGAGAAGGGGAAACAAGAGTGTTTTGAGTCGACTCAAATGTCGACCAGGCGCGCAGAGAAGTAAACTTTGCGAGCCAGAGGCCGGAAAGGGGAAGGGAGGGGCTGTGGAGGTGTGAGTGGTGGAAAGGGGAGAGATGGGCGGGCGGAAAGAGGAACAGTATCGGAGCGGAACAAAAACAATGCGGAGCGGTGCGAAGTACAGCGGAAATGGGCGCGGGAAACACGGCAAGAAGGGTAGATGAGCAGAGCGGCAAGAAGGGTAGACGAGAAGTAGAGGCAGAAGGATGTAGCAGGAGGTAGCAGGAGGAAGCAGTAGCAGGAGGAGGAACTCACGAGCGGAAACGGTGTGCGGCGCCGTGAAACCTGAGAGGCCCGACGGGCGAAGAGGACAGGGGGGAAGAAGAGAGGCAGTTACTCGTAAGAGCGCGGCGCGTGATTACAGACGCCCCGCGCGCCGCGCGGCGGGGCAGAGATGCTGCTTTTGAAAAGTGAACGATGTTGCATGATTGTATCGTGTCGCGGAATTGCGATTCAGGAGCAACATCGCTCACCGAGCAGCCTCTGTAACGGATCTCACCGAGCAGCAGCAACAGCAGCGCGGGCAGCGCGCCGAGCAGTCGCCTTGAGGCGGCCCGCTGTGGCGCCGCTATCGACATCGTGGCGTCGGCAGATCGCGACAAGTTTCCCGACGAATCAAACTGAAGAGCTTCAGAAGACGGGAGCTGAGAAGTTCTCGAAGAACCAAAACTAGCAGCGCCAGTACCAG